TTTTCCTACGTGACCCATCGTCCCGTTACAAGTTGGCCTGTGACGAATCGGCATGTGACGAATGGACCTACACCTGGCCAGTCCACACGGGCATGTACAAAATATAGAAGCCTCTCTTATCTATGAACACATCTATCGAACTGTACAGGGATGAAGGGTGTCCCTGTGATAAGACTTCAACCAACACAATGAAGTTCGGTCAGTTCAAACCCTTTGGGTCATTGTCCTTTATTTATAAACGTATATATGTCCTATTTAGCTTCATTCTAGTAAAGTTTGACAATCATTCTATACTATATCTGTCTGCTACATTTTCGTATCATTTTTCCCGATTGTATTCCGCATTACCATTTGTCCATGCTTATTATTACCGTACTTGCTTGGGGTGCGCAGTAAAGGTATTTATTTGCTTCTTTATTCTTTTGCTCTGTTTTCTTCTGTTTTGTGTTTTACTCACAAGGCACCGGAAAGATAATAAGTTTGAAAGTGTGGTGCATTGTGAAAAAAAAAACACTTGTTTAGATTTTCTCGTTCTTTTTTTTTCTTTTTTTTCAATGCGTATGTACTGTAGCGGACAACATAAGCTAAAGCAGTCTTCTTTTTTTTTTCTTTTTTTTTTTTTTTGGTGTGCCTGTGATTTCTTTAAGGAAGCTGTGCCCCGAGCTAGGAATTGGAATGCGAAGTTGAGCTCCCATACCTTTTGAGTTCTGATTATTCGACACAAGTCCATTTGGGGTTTTTGACGTGCCAAACCAACCAAAAACATCTGGAACGCCTCAGCGAAGGACTGACGATTAATCTTCAGTCCTCTGTTGGGGCGTGCCACATGCCGTTTGCTTTAACACGTCGAAAACCCCAATTGGATTTTTATCGAATATTCCGAACTCAAAAGGTATGGCGTGCAACCAAAAGCTCGATTACACAAGCCCCTTTTGAGCAAGAGACCTCCGTCAGATTGTAGGCACCTCAACCGGGACTCGAATCCGCTACCCGGTATTCGAACCCACCACCTGGGGACTTGAACCCTCCACCTAGAGATCCATAGGCCGGCGTTTTGCCTCGGAGCAACCATGGCGGCTGACTATTTGACAAATTGAGAGAGATTATGGAGCGTTGGGGAACAGCAGACAAAGAAGAAGACCGGATCGGGTGTTTCAGCTCGGTTTGTCCACGGAGGTAGACATTTTAATACGACTATTCTGAGACCTACGCACTAACATCTTCAAGAAATAAACGCGGGGCGGAGTTTATTGTGTTTAAGCATCTTGCTTTGTTATTCGGTGTCTATCTCACATTGACTTCCTCGTTTCTTACGCTTTCCTTTAGGAAACGCAGACAGCGTCGTTTTCTTACAGTGCCCGGAACGCGTTTCTAGAGAGCGTTAGGCAACCGTGTTTGCACATCAGATACGGCAGGACGCGTTCTCCGTTACTAATTGCGCATATACAGGAGTCTTCTGTGGGAGCGTATGCGCAGTTACTAACGGAGGGCGCGTCCTACCGGGCGTACGCTCCCACAGAAGACTCTCGTATATGCGCAGTGCGTACTTCAGAGGCCATCATTCCGTATCGGATGTGCAAGAACGGCTTCCTAAAACTCCCTTCTTTCTGACTGGTGTGTTTACCGTCCTATACCGCCCATGCATCGAAAGTCGTCCCGCAGTGGCACCGAATGACGTTACAAAGAAAAAGCCGGAGTGTCGTGCTGTCGGATGTCGCGACCCTGACGAAAAAGCACGAGCGAACGCGAGTGTCGCAGTCGTCGTGGCATCCCAACTCCTGACTGCACGAAGCTTCCGTAGACTGTCAAGCTGGAGAGCGAGCAGAACAGGCGTCTGCCATCTCCATCACCGCTGCTGTATGTCACCGCCAGGATCGCGACCGGCGGCGGCGTGAAACTTCTATGACGTCACCAAGCAAAAATCCAAAGACCACTTTTTTTTTTCTTTTTTGGACGCGGTAAACAAACGAGTCGGAGTCGCGTTCCAGGCACGAACCAAGATGCTCGTGCATCTTGGTTCGTTACCTGCTCTTATCGGCTAATGACGCGATTTCGATGGCCGTGAAACAATGCTAAGGTGTTTGGGAGTAGCTACGCCTTGCGTTTCTTAAGCTGTCAGTTACTATGCAGACCGCAAGTTCGTCTGCTTCTTGAGCAGTGGTTGTTGTGCCGTCTAAAACACCGAGCTCTGATTGAAAGATGGTGGGTAGACCTCAAAGTAAGCTGCTTTGAGGTCTACCCACTATCCTTCACTCGGAGCCAATCAGAGCTCGGCGTTCCGACGTCACCACAACCCCCCCGAAAGAAGCAGACAAACTTGCGCTCCGCATAGTTAATCGTGCAGATAAAAACCGGGAAGCACAAATTTTCATGTTTCGTTTTCATTTATCGTTTCCTTTCATCGCCCGCAGGGGGTTTTGCATAAAGGGGGTAGGAGGGCGAAACATCAGAGTACCTGTTAACTATCACAAAAAGAAAAATACACTAAAACATCTGTTAGGTTAGTTACATTTCAAATGTGGCAGTCAGGAAAGAATTTAGAAAATTGGCAGAGTCCTGCAAGGTTACAATATTATCCAGGAGTAAATTCCATTCGGGGAGTTATAACTGCAGTGGAGATAATTTAAAGGTGTCAGTTCTAGGAATAGTGGGATGAAGTTTGTATGAGTTGCCTTTGCGCGAGGAAACATGGCTGGCAGTTCGACAACGTGCAGGGTGTTCGAATTTTTAATTCGAACATATTCTTGGTGGGTACGCAGACGACGTGAGTGAGGATGTGACTGGAACGACTACGTCACACTCCTAAGCGCCATTCTTGGCAGGGCTTGCGGCGCACTTTTTGGGCGCCATTTTTTAATCGAATTAACGTGAATTTTCAAAATTAATTTTTGAAAAAACCATTACAATCCTGCAAATTATTTTAAGTGGTATTGTAATTTCCGTCAATACTGCAATTTCAACATGACCCCTAAAACCAATAATTAAAAAGTTACTTAACAGAAATTAGTCAACTTATGAAGATTATTCCCTCATCTAACATCCGCCGAGCCCAATAAATACATGCTGAAGACGGTGTGGCTCCATGTTGAATAGTCTGTAACTTATCTATATACTATAAAGTATGACTGATGTGGATTCCAGAGGACAGAAACATATTCAAGCTTGGGTCGAATGAGAAAAGAATGTGCAATCAATTTTCTTTTCCAAGTGGCCAGATAAAGATGACGCCTTAAAAACTTGAGGGTTGTATTAGCGTTAGCTGTGATGTAGGTAATGTGGGGTTCTTATGAAAGGTTTTATGTGAAATTGACCCCAAGATGCTTGTAGGACTAGACATTTTCGATAGCAGTATTTAAAAGTGTGTACTTCAACTGAGGAGGAGAACGCTGGTCAGTCAAGTTCATGCATTTCGTTTCTGAACCGTTTATTTCTATCTGCCACTCCTGACACCATGCTTCGACGAGTGATCGTCTAACATCACAGGGTCCTCCAGGAGTTCAATCTTTCTATACAACATACTATCGCCAGTATACAGCCTTATGTCGGATTGAATAGAGGAGGGCAAATCATTCGTGCAAATAAGAAAGAGCAGCGGACCAAGCACGGTTGCCCTTTGATGTGATGAATTCCTATATTCCCTAATGAATGTTCTGAGTACGATTAAAAATAAAGGCTGGGATTCACTCCTCTATAGACGGATTTATTTTTATCTATATTATTTTTAGCATGAGAGGGCAATAAAATACGTGATCTAAAGTTTTTTTTTATCAATAAAAATGGTACGAGTTTTTTTTCCGCGAATGTAAGTCTCTATGAATATCATTAGTGAGCTAAAAAAGCTTTTTTCGCAGGAGTGTGATTTTTTGAAACCGTGCTGGTCCACAAAGATAAGATTATTAGCACATAAGAAGTTCATTATACACGAAAATGCAATGTACTCCATAAGTTTGCTACGAGTACAAGTTAAGGATATTGGCCTATATTTAGAAAATTCATTTCTTGAACCATCTTTATGAATCGGAATCACTCGGGCATGTTTCCAGTCATTGAGTACTTCATCATTGTCTAGGGATTGTTGAAAATAAAAGCAGGTAGATAAGAACAGCTTGAGGAGTTTTGACGAAATGTTGTCCGCATCTGGAGCTGTGTTTGTTGGTAGTTCCTCTATTAGTTTCAAAAAGTCAGCCACAGAAATGTTTACATTAGTCATATTGTATTTCTCATCACATTTCAGGCAATAGATCTGAATTGTTCAAATGTCCCCAGAAAGAAGGTTGGTGAAGTACTGACTGATATGTTCACCTGTTTCCTGGCACTCGACTCATCCCCGTTCTCATTCGTGAAACAAATGGTATTTTCAATTTGTTTTGGTTTAATAGTCGACCAGAACTTTTTAGGGGTACTCCTCATATTATTACTAATTTATATTTAAAAAAAAATCTTCAGTTTGGCATTTCTTTACTTTACGGGTACACGTTCAAGGTTACATGTTACCTGATATTGATTGTACTTCTCCCACGTATTTGCGGACTGTGAAAACTTTACAACCCTGAATAACCGATTTTTTTTAAACTTCGAAGTCGCGTCAGTCGTGTTAGAAGCCACGTTTTTTCAACACAAGGGTATACCTTTACGTGAACAAATAAATGAGTCAGCTAGTTCCAGAAACTTGTATTTGAGCAAACTCTACTTTTCGTCAACTGATCTAGAATCAAAATTGTGTTGCGTTGTGAATGAACTGGGCACGTGTTAGGTGTGCGTGTGACGTTACTTAACTTCATGACGTCGTGTTACACTCTAATGTTAGGTGACTCTAACGTCATAGAATTACGTGACGTCAGGATCTTTCGTGGTGGTTCCTTATCATGGTCCTTCATGCCGGTTTCTTCACAAACTTCGGCTGATAAAACACTTTTTGTGTTATAACTGTTTTAACGCCCCCCCCCCCCCCCCTTCCCTCCCCTTCTTGTGCGCAACGCTGCGGGAAAATACATCGTCAGTCGTCGTTGCGGTGCCAAGTTTGCCGACTTCCTCCGGAACAACCGGAGGGCCGCCATCATAGGGCTCGGCTGCTCGATCGGAGTCGTCTGCATCATGGCCGCCGTCCTGGTGGGAACACACTCCATCGCCGGCCCATGTTTCCCAAGTACGGTTCGTAGCCGCGCGATATGGGAATTTTGCAGAAACATTGCTTGCTAGTGGTTCGTGTGGGTCGCACCGTGGCGCGCGGCCATGGGAGAGTCACCTAACACCGTGGCGCACGGCCACGAAAATAAAGCAGTTTAGAGTTTATAAAAGAAAATGAAATAAAACTGTCAGGAAGTGTCACGTCGTCAGAAAGGGTTATACATCAGGGGTGAGTTCTAACATGCAATGCTGCGCAGACGCTTTATTTGGGTTCATACTGAAGAGTTTATCAACTTACATATGTCCCGCTGACAAGCCTTGTAAAGCCCCTGAAAAGAAAAAAAAATTTTTTTTTTTTTTAAACCGTCTGGTTGGGACACGTGTGTCAAGAAATAAGTTTTACGCGAAAAAAAAAAATTAGAGTAGTATTGACAGCGAGAGATTTATTTGAAATTGTGCGCGAAGTCCATGACGTCACGGGTCATTCCGGAATGATTATCTCGGTCGTGAAGGCGAAGCCGACCCACCTCTCCTCCACGTGCCTTAAATGCCGAGAGTGAAAACAACTGGAAAGGAGCTGACTGCCGACTAAATCGCGCTGTGCGCCGTCAATATTGCTCTAAACTTTTTTTTTTTTCAAGTAAACTCATTTTTTTGACACAAGTGTCCCAACCAGAGTGTTAAAAAAAAATTCTTTTCAGGGCTTTTTAAGCCACGGCCAGACCTTAATACGCGATGCAGTCTGCAGACTGGGTCATCCCTGTGTGACACTGGTCACACAAAAACTGTCTGCGGGCATGTTCGAAGAATCAGACATGATTCGAACATGCCTGAGGTTAGTCCGCAAATATTTTTATCATACATGTTTGCAGCGAACAATGTGTCTTTTGTATGGCACATGAACAGTGCCACTGCAGCTTCAAACAAGCGCAGCAGGATGGCCGGCAAATAGCACTTCATTGCCAGAATGCCTCTGCTTCCTTTCCCCATGAATCTGTGTACTTCAAAACCGTGTGGGTTCGTCAATGACTCCGGGCTAAGGTTTTTTTGTGTGTGTGTGTGTGTGTGTGTTTTTAATAAGGAGCCGTGTATGCGACTCGAATTTGGACGCGTGGTTCGACTTCAAGCTTACTGCAAAATGCCACTCATTTGTCCTAACTGAGAGCGAATGTTTTAACCCCTTCCAGGAACAGCACCCACGATAGACGTCTGCGAAACCGACTCCTGTCAAGCAATCGGTGAGTCTGTGCGAGACGACTTTTTTACTTTCGGCATCGACGATTGCAACTTGTGAAGGAATTCAGTAGCAGCTACATGACGCAAAAGAAGCGTATGCGTGTCCACCTTGCCGCAAAGCACTCGAAGAGCTCTTCACAGCGATCTACATGGGAGATCTGCGAAACACAAAGACCGTAGATATTTCCACGGCAACGTTTATCGGGCCCCGCTCCCCCAGAGGGTTTGAGAGGAGGGCGAAAAGGGTGGACCTAACTTTTTTTCTTATTATTTACTGCGGACTCCGGCCGGGTGCGGGTTCCCAAAAGTCGAAAACTATAAGCTTTAGATCCGTTCCCCGGTACACGAAAAATATAACCGTTGACGAAACGGACGACGTCACTTCCGGGTCCCGGACATTCCCGCACGACTGCCCTCCCTTTACCGGCAGCGTCAAATGCGCGAGTCCGTTTGTGCCGCACCCAAATGCCGCGAGTGCGGCATCTGGGTGCAGATGGCGGCGCGACATCGAAATGAGCGGCCCTATAGGAAGCGAACGGCACCGCAGCACTCGCGCTGGTGGCACATGTCTGTCGCGTTTACCTAACAACGGTTATCAATACTTGTAAGACACGTGCAGTGTAGATTTTATCAAGGGGCTTTAAGCGTTTTATTGAGGTCAGCGGTCACAACCAAGAACAGCTAGAAAAATCAAAGCCTCCGAACGCCCCCACCCATCCTCTATGGAACGTCATCCAATCGAATGGCGCCCACTCAGCAATTGGACGCGAGCCCGATGCCGAGCGGCCTTCGACGCGCTGATTAGACACGAGACCCAGCCGAACACTGATGCAGTACTCGTGACTAAATCGCGTCTTCGCTCGATCTCACTGCGATGACTTCCAAATTCTAGTGCACGGGCTTTGATTATTTAAGGCGGCATTGGCTCAAAGCACGTGGTCACGCTGCAACGCAGATGCGTGCAACAACTCGTAGAGTTGCTTACAGCACCCTTAAGTGCTTACGGCAACCTTAAGCGCAGAGACTGCAGCAGAGCATGAACGAGTCCCTGGACCCCTGCGACGACTTCTACCTGTTCGCCTGCCAACGCTGGGACAGCGAGCGGAACGAGTCCATCTGGGAGGCGGCGTCTAACCGCTCCCTGGAGGACTTCGAAGTTGCCAAGACGGCGCTCCTCGACGGACACTTTGAGTCCACGAACGAACCGGAGGCCTACCTCGTGGATTTCGTGCGCCACTGCGAGAACGGTAAGACGCCGTTCCGTCGTCGCCCCTGAACAATACCACGTAGAAGTCAAGGCCTTCGCATGACGTCATGCTCAGTGGATCCACCGACCCGCACCAAGCGGCAAACGCTCTGAAGCTCGCCGAGAGTATTCGCGGCAAAGCGGCAGACAAGTGCATCTTGGCAATGGCGTGTTCTCTCGTCGTGGGGCTGTACGAGGCTGCACAAAACACTCGTTTGCAAACAAATTCAATAGAGCCTTTGTAAAATCCCGTCAAGCAACATTGGTGGTCGCCATTTCCGGGTTACGAAATTGCAGAGGGTAAGAAAATTAGCCAAGAAAAGGCTAGGTGGCGTAAGCTACCGTCCAATATAAAGGTACAGCCGTTAGCATCCATCTATTCATGGGGAACGAAGCGGTTGATTGGATCCGAGTCCTCGCCTTATGATGACGCGGCGATCATTTCACATAGGAGCTGAGCCGAGTTCATGCCCAACGATGACGCAACCCTAATGTCTGATACGTGCCTAGAGTACGTGCCCAAACAATGGCGGTCTCGAATAATTGGTGCAATAGCAGCTAGATGGCGCGCATTTTCGAAAAGTGTTCATTGTGTGAATCTGCCTTAAGGCTTGCGTCGCTTTTTTTCCATTGGCCTACAGAACACCCACGGAGGACTGTAGAGGGCAAGGACCCCGTGATGCTGGAGTTGGACATCATGGGCGGCTACCCCCTTTTTTTGCCACAATGGAGGGCCGAGGGCTACGACTGGCTCAGGGCAGAGACACGGCTGGCCCACGTCGGACATAACCAGGCTCTGCTTTCAGTTCGTTTTCAGATCGATGGTCAGCGCAGGGACCGCAGGATTATTCAGGCGAGTGGAACTTAGCTATTATTCGCGCATGGGGCGGTAGCCTAGAAGTAACCATAGCTAATCCAAAGGTAGACGCACAAATATCGACTCTCGTGACAAGTTCTCCTGCTTTCTATTGTTTCGGGGTCAAGTGGTAGGAATCAGAGGATTGAACAATAGGAATCAATGATAAGAGGTTGCGTGTGATTCCCATTTCACAGTTAGGGAAAAGTAAGAGTCCGACGCGCGATAAGAAATATCCAGCGGCGCGAGCTTGCCACTTGGGCATGCAAGGGAAGTGCGCGCCAGACGCACGAATGTCTGGAATGACAGCTGCCAAAAGCACTCTTGTGCCATGGTCTATTGGCGCCGAGATGTTTCTGTGGCGCCTTCCTGTGTCTTCCACACGTGACGTCACGACCGGGATTTGCATCGCCGTGACGTCAGGAGAGGCGATTCTGGCTACTTGTCATCGGTTCCGACGACAAGTTCGATCGTGTGTTTAAAAAGCACAATGAAAGCTGGGAGCCATCGCGTTCTCAAATCAACCCCATCGAAGTTGACAGTCTGACAGTGCTCTTATGCCTATGGTTTTGCCCATAGTGGAGAGCCGATCATAGCGACGCTTTTGGTTGCGAGTGTTGGCAAGATAATAGAGGCAGGAAGTTTTTTTTTTTTTTTTAGTTGTCCCGTCTCCAGTGCCCAATTTCCTACCTTCGCTTTGGGTGTCTTGTGAGCTCTGAGCGAGCACGCAGGTTTAGCCAAAACAAGACGGGTGGCAACGAGCGCCTGTTGCAGGCTCGGCAATTGGGAAAAAAAAACTGCGCTTTGTGTTTTGCCGGTGTCAATACAGGCGTCTTCGCTACTGCTTGTGGGTCAGAAAATGAACTGCTAATCGTTAAACTGAAGAATTTTTTGCTCTCTTTATTTCAATTCTTTGAAGTTCAAGGTCGTAGTGTCATGGGCATTTCATAAATGTTCGTTGCTCATTGAAAGAACTGTGTGCGTCTGTGTTCGTCCTTCATGTGTTTTATTCTTTCTGTGTATTCTGTAGTTTTCAACGCGCTCTCCTACGTGTACTTAATCGCTAAACTGCTGCTAGTCTGAAAAAAAAAATCGACCTAAGCACTGTCTTTTAACTGGGATGTTGGCATGTATGATTCCTGTTGCGACGCCCAAGACCATTCCCTGGAAGCATCCTCACGACCATCTGTGATTTCCTGAACCTTGCAGCTCGACACTCAATCCTCGATGTTCCCACCTCAACTTTTGGGCAATGCGACAGCGGTGAATGGACTCAAAGGATTCCTTCGAACGGTTGCTACTCAGTACCGGTATCCCGACGGTGGAAACATCTCATGGGAAAATGACGCGTGGATGAAAGATATAAACCTTCAAATAGAAGAGATGCTTCAGTTTGCGAGGAGCCTTAATGAGGTAAGCGGTATCACAAAAGAAGGGTGTTTTTACAAACGTACTGAAGTTCCAGCCATATTGGCATTACCATATGCACTCATACAACCCATATATCATAATAACATATGTGAGAATTAAATGGCATATCACAGTGATATCTCGTTAACATGGACAGCTCTCCCCTCCCCCCCCCCCCCCCCCCCACCTTTAGCAAAACCAAAAGGTCCGTAATATGAGTTGTTTATAATAGCGAGACAAAAATGCATGTATTTACCCAGTTCATTCACAAAACGCTTGTTTATATAGCAGAATATCTACGTTATAGAGGTCTGTAATAACTAGACATGACAACCATGATAATTCGCACAGTTAAGTTTGATAGAAATAACAAAAACATGCAAGGGTTCTCAAGAGGTCAGTTTTGTCGTTTGGCCACGGCTACCTACCACACCTTCCCTGTCCGATGGCACATAAATGGCATTGTTTTCTTCTAGCTGTAGTTAAGAATCTTTTTGATTTGCGATATTTTAGGTAAATATATGTGCCGCACACCACCATCAATGTTTTGTGTTTTATATCTGTAACACACGCATAAGGCAAGGGAGATTGTTTTGAACCTTCTAAAAAGTGTTAAGTTCCTAAGTTTTAGATTTTGTTTTTTTCCTATGCGCATTTTGTTCGTCAATATAGAATATGGATAAGGTTCTGCATTTTCAAAGTCGTTGTTTACATTTTTTTTTTTTACAAAAACGGAGTGGTTTTTTTTTCTAGTTTATTTTTACCTAAAATTTGAAGTTTATCAAGTTTTTACTTATTGCAACCAAATAATCAGAGCTTTTCGGATGGTTGGTGTAGTTAGCCTTTGCAGAAAACAGCAGCCATTAAAGTTCTTAGAACTGAATCTTTATAAATAAAACAGCGGAGCTGAGCCCTCCATGAATTTACGGAACTAGGCGCAATTATTTAAATTCGTCAATCTGTGCCGAGACGAGGAAGCTTCAGCAGAATATATTAATTGGAATCCTGGTACTTCTCAAACGGCATTAGATCTTTTTTTTTTTTTACTGCTTGAAGTTTAAAGTTGTTGTTTACATGCTGCTGCTAAACAACTCCTGTTTCCCCACATGCGACATCAACTCTGACGTCTATTTAGGCTTCATATGGCGACGATAAAGCAGGATTGCATCAGAACTGAGAGAGTTGATCTTCTTGAAATTATTCGAGGTTTGATTTGTTCAGACTCCAGAGCCAGACCTAATGCATGTAATTCGTCATGTTGTTTGTCTGATCAGTACAGAGACGAATATTTATAAACATATTTGAGAATAAATTGAATAAATTAACTAATGCAATCTATTCAGTTTGCGGACGCAAGGCGGCGGAGAATTGTTTTGTACTGACTTCTGATTTTGTAGAACAAGGGAAGAATTATTTGACTGTCAACAACATATTCGAGAAAGCCTAGTTCGTCGATGCTGAAGACACACTTGCTTTGTGGATGATGATGCCTTTGTAAAGGAGGCTCGTGTTGCTCGCTTTGGCAAAAATCCAGCATGTATTTTTTTAGTGATAACAAAAAGTATTGATGTAAAATAGTGTTACTGTATGTAAAAAAGTATTTCGCACGGAAAAGTTCATGTCATTTCCCCCGACTGTCATTATATGTGATCAGTCAATCAGCGCGCGTCACGCGAGATGCTCGTTGTTAGGATTGCGAACCGATTCTCCGATCAGACTATTGAACTCGATGGAAGGGCATTAACTTTCCCGCGTAACAGCTAGGGTGTCACCCACAGCCCCGCTGACCTGTCATTATTTACTGACACGTCATTGAGTAATGATGCTGTATAATTGAAACGTGACTTTCGAGTGTTTTCTACGATAACGAGTATGTTGCCTGTGTTGAAAGTTGTACGCAGACGTAGAGGAGAAAATTTCATCACGGTAAACGAAAACCTTGAACGTTATCGTGTGGATATTGCGACATCAGCTGGAACTGATTTGTGAGAGCTTGCAATGTGTCCATAAGTACGTTATCGTGTGCGCTTGCTATCGCCCGCCGCAACGTATTGCTCCGAATTTCACATCGCTTTACACACAATGTGGCTTTAGAATTCATATGGCGCGCTTGTTTCCACTATGTGATTTTATCGTTCCTCTTACTGGTCTGGTGCTTCTTGATTCCTACCAACACTGATACTTGCAATCCTTCCCTCCACTTGAATTCTTCCGTCTTTTTTTTCTCGAAAGTTCATGGAGTGTTTACTATATTCAGGGGCAACTTTTTTTGGCATTAGGAGAGGAGAGCGCGCGCATAGCTTTAATCGGCACTTAAAATGGGAGAGAGCACGCGCGCCCGTACATCTAGTCTTGGGAAGTAATTTGAGTACATTATACTTAAAGCACTACTTTCAGGGGGTTTAGAATACTTGTACTTTGCTTCAACAACCTTCTCTGAGAATGCACTAGTACTTAAAGTCTTTTATGGTACTTTTCGAGGAAAGTGCAACCCCCTATTTCAAAATACATAACTCGAAATTGGTCCTGTTAAATATGTATCACAAAATGTTCTTTTGTCAACTCTTAATCCACTTGACTTTATTCAATATTTGCTGCCATTTCCGAAAATAACTGATGCACCCCTGATTATCTTTGGGACAATGCATACCAATTAAAAGAAATATAGGGGAATGAAAGGGCATCATGAAAGAATACTTGTACTCTTTCCTGATTCAGTTAAAAAGTACTTTTACTTTACTATGAGAGTACATTCTATTTGTGGTACTTTGCTAGAAGTACATTGCACCCAATGTACCTAATACTTTACTTAAAGTACGTAAGCTCGCATTTACTTTGTACTTTACTTCAAGTACTTTTTATGTGTTCTTTAGCCAACACATAAAATCACTGACACATTAACCCTCTGCTCGCTCTTATTATTTTAATGAGATTTAACCGGTCTACAGACCAGGCGTTGGCGATTACTCTTACTTACCTCAGCCGGTGTTTCAAATAAATACTACGGAACATCGCCTTGACTCTAGTAAGGGTAATTTTGATGCCACAAGCATTATCTTAGCTGGCCTGCTCAATAGGTCTCTGCTTGATTTCCCAAAATATTCAATAGAAAGTGGTTGAAAATGGTGAAAAAAACTGCATCCTTGACCATGCCGACAAAGACCGGGGAACACAGAATCTGCTGAGCGCAATCCATCACCTCGCAACGCCACCCCCAAGAAATTAATGTCACGTGACTTGGTCGGATGACGCGGTTACGTGCCTTCACAGTCCCCGCCATATTTAGCAAAGGAAATTAACGTTACGTTTCTTTGTGACAGTTTTTTAGTGAAATTCGGCTGATAAAACACTTTTGTGATCAAATAAATTGGGCTTTCTAATTAGCTGACTCATTTCAAGTAGGTCCACTACTTCTAAACCGGTCTAACAATTAGACTTTTTGGGATTATAAGAAAATTTTGCGAAATTATCTGTATGTGAGACGTCGAGAGGAATACAAGGCAGCCGCGATCCCTTTTAATTACAGTCACTGAACAGTTCAAGCAGACATTAGTCAATATAATTCCATCTTTGTAAAAGAAAAGAATCATCTTGGAATGTTATAAAATAAAAAATAAAAGGACTGTTTTCTTGCTTACTCGAAAGAATGGTTTTGTCACCCAGAGGTATCGTTCTCCATATGTACTTAATTATACTTTTGTAAAAGCCTTTTGTAATATTGAAATCTTCATTTAGCCTATCTACCCTAATCAGTTTTTTAATGAATCCGCTTTTTTCTACGGCAGTATAGTTATGAGCATTGAATATTAAAAAAAAACAAACATATTGTCAACATCTGGAATCGACAAATTACCTCTGCATTTCTTCAAAGTACTAAAACATAGTTGAAAAACCCCGAGACTGCGGGTAAACGACACAACACTAAAAAGTCTCTAATTTATATAAAATATTTTGGGAAATCAGACTAGAGACTTTTTAGTGTTGTGTCGTTTACCCGCAGTCTCGGGGTTTTTCAACCATGTGCAATGTACACCAGCTCGTTTGCGCCCTTACTTTTTGTTTACTAAAACATGCATAATGTACAACCGAGACGACGGACGAAAGAAGGGGTCAAACACAACACGTCTTGAACGTAGCTAACTAAATTTTATTAACACACCTTTACACTCCCATCCCAATTGTGTGACCCAAACCAACTCGCATTTTTGCTTACTTCGTCTAAAATCTACATTTATTTATTTTAAGGATATTTTAGCGATATTGTATTTTTGTGTCTTAGCTGGATACTGAAAATAGAGAAAGCGGTTTCCCTTCCCACAAATGTGGTGATAAGCACAGTATTTTTAATTTCTGATCGTTGCTTTTAGTCCGCACGCCCCATAAAAGTTCAGAACACCAAATTTCTTTCATCGGTTAATTCTATAGACTCCGCTTCTTTTTGTTCCTAACTCCCGTCATATTTTTCGTAAATCCCTACCCTGCGAGACTGAATATCTGCTCTCATACTTGACCTTGACTCCTAGAATGGCAGCGCTTTTTTGCATTTTCTTTTTTTTTACAAAACATTTCATAAAATTTCTTACAAACCTTTGCTTTACAAACTCGGTCAACTAAATCTCGATCCTTACGTGCTCTCCTGGAATACCTAATTTTCTAATTGTTCTGTTTGTTACTGTTTATTATGTTAATTTTTTGTCAGCTCATTGACTTCCGGCTTTCCTCGTGAGCCCGATTTAGGAGCCCATTTTACGCTATTTGCATAAATGACTTGCCTATTTATAGGGGCTGTTTGATTTTAATTCACACAGATTTATTACCGAAAGTCTGTAAAAAGTACGCTAATGCTGTTTGTGCAGGTGAGTTATACGGTCAGGGGGACATCATAGAGCCGGCTCATCTCCACAATAAGAAGGCTAATTAACTGTAATGTTTTAATTAACTCTTCAATTTTTAAAAATAAACATATTGTTTCAATTACAAACTTGCTCGAGCACCACTCAATCACTGTTATAGAACGACTTGAAGCACGTGGGAAATGCGGGGGTGCACCAAACTTACTTCTTATGCAGTAGATGCAAAGCTGGTGGAAGGGAGGGGAAGGGGAGGCCGGGGGGGGGGGGGGGGGGGGCTCGTATGATCAGATTATTATCCGGATTTCCCTAATGCTAGCTTTGCGCCAAAAGCACAAGTGGTAACATTAGTGCATCCTCGCGTTTCCCACGTTCTTCAAGTCACTTTAAAAATGACTGATTTAGTGTCTTTTTTTATTAATCTTAGCAAGTCTCTAAGTGAAACCGTGTATTTATCTTCAGTAATTAAATATTTAATAAAAATTAGTTAATTATTCGACTTATCGTAAAGATTAGCAAACTAATATTATCCTCCTGGCCGAATAACTCACCTGCATAATAAGCATTAGCGTAACTTTTACGTTGTTCTGTTTTAGTAAATGTGTTCAAATTAAAAGTAAATACCCTGTATAAATGACTTCCGAACAATTGGTGAAGAGGAAAAATCAACATGACCTCAATCGCGATTTAAATCACTATTTAAATTGTGATTTAATCTGACCAGTTTCAATTTGATTCGTTAAATCAAACTTTTCCAGCGAAAATACCACCGTAAATATTTTTATTCACCGTTTTTCTCATCGTTTGACGTTTTCAAAGTGTATTTTTCTAAACAAAATATTTTTAGCGAGCATGAATTATACAAGGCTGAACACGAGCAAAAACAAACGACTCTTCAAAGCAAATCGGAACGTAGAGGTTGATTTCTACCTTTCGCTTCAGTCGTCATTTTGTAATCGAGCGAAACAAAAAATAAAGCGTTTAATCTAACTTTAAGAAATCAAGTTGTTTTTGTTTTAATATGGCATAGATTTCATCAATAAAAAAGTTGTTAATTAAACTGTACTTTTGAAGAGCTACTAATAAATCTTGTTTAAATAGTTGGTTTCACGTTATATGCAAGTGAAGCCGAAAATACAAGCTCGTTGCCCTGGATGATGTATGTATGCACTGCACAAAGTGCGTTCTTTGCTGGGGCCCCAAAAGCCCGGAACTCGCTCTCGTAACTTCCGCTACACTCGCATATAAAGAAAAACGGTTAATAGATTTTTTTTTATCTTGCTTAAATAGGTTCATGACTGTTTCACTTCCAGCAATTGAAACCTTTCAACAGCATGCCAGAGCAGGGCGTTTCAAGGATGACAATTCAAGAACTTAGTAAGGCTATAACGGAGGTATGTCCTTTTCTGCTCTGAAATCATCCCGAGACCATTGTGATGCCCGTTCACAGAACCGCTTTCCCACAGGTAGATTGGCTCAAGTACTTCCGCCTGCTGACGTACCCTGCTTTCGGGAACGACACATCGCCAGTTTACATGACAGACGAGGACGTCGTACTTGTGAGAAATGTCGATCGACTCCGGGCTCTTGCCAAGTTTATGGAAAAGAAACAGCAAACAAGGTACAATTACAGCGCACACCAAACCTTAAGCCACCCACGCAGGCGTTTGACTTCGGTCGTATAGACGTTTGCAAGTGCGGCCTCCGGGCGACGCCATCTTGATGCTGGTGTGGGCAGATCCTCTGATAGTCAAGCATCGCTAAGGCGACGCTCTGACTCAGACGATGCTTCACTATCAGACTTGACTCAGCAATGCTTGACTATCAGACGATCTACCCACACCAGCAGGAAGATGGCGGCGCCCAGAGGCCGCACTTGCAAACGCCTATGCTTCGTTTTACTTTTAGTCCGAGTGCAACAGACGCTACGATCAGATGGAGCCAACCAAGCGGCGCTAAAAGTGCATCGTCACTGGCTAAACCAATCACAAGTGTCCATTACCCCCGCCGAGTGGCGGGACATGCAAGCACTTCCTAGATAGCAAGGCCGCGGTCCTGAATTTTTTTGACGTCACGTAAAGGAAGCCGACGCGGGACACAGATTGGACGCGAGTACTGCATCAGCATTCAGCGGTCCTTGGTGATTGGACCCCATGTCCCAGCCGAACGCTGACGAAGCATTCGCGTTCAGTTGGTGCCCCGCGTTGACCTCCTTTACGTGACGTCAAAAAATTTAGCAATATGGCCTTGCTTAAAGGAAGTGTTGGACAGACTCACCCTTTTGACCAAAAGTCTCTGGCGGCGGACTGACGGCCAAGCGTAGGTTGGTCCACACATTTACGTTGCACTGACCGCGTACCCTGTGATCTCTGTCAGCGTTTATGACGAGAGAACACACCACAGATTAGTGGAACGATGAATAAGTGAATGAATTGAGCTGAAGCTTTTTAATCGGGCGGCGCCTTGCACCATCTCGTCAAAGCTTCAAATAAATAAATAAGGGTAAGCCTTTTAACGGTATAATTCTAAATTCGTAATTAATAGAGCACGGTAAATAATACAATATCGCTACTATGCACGAGCATTAATTTACCATTCTCCACAATCGAAAGTGACGGCGGTTCCCTTTCGCAACCTGCAGCGCGCATTTTCCGCCCGACATAAAGGAAAAGTACAAAACAACTTTTTTTTTTTCCTTGATTAATGCCACCAGTCCGATAACCTGTGCGAGATGCTTCTACAACACCTATTTCTCGTCGCTGACTTTAAAGCAAATGCTTTTACTAAATACGAATCGCCTTGTGCCACTGGTGAAACCCTGCGACTATTTGTACAATGAAGTATTATATGTTCAGCCGTCTTTTTCTTTTCTCCACATGCTTTACAGAATGTATCTATGTCCTGATATCTTCTCTTCTAGCACTACTGCCCTGGTCTCAAACAACAACGAGTATCCCCTAGAATTTTCTTAGCTACTTTGCAATATTCATATATTCGAAGTCAGATCTACGAACTATCTATAAGGAATAACCGTTTATTACATTGTTAAAGTGTATTTCAAGGCTGAGGTAAAAGACTGCAAACAATAGGAACTAATAGGAAATAAATACGCATTCAGAAGTGTTCCAGAGCTGCACGATCGGTGGTGCCGGTGGGGTTTCTTGTCGTTAGGCGTCACAGGATATCACAGCGCACTCGGTAACAGACTAACGCAAATGTATGAACCAGCCTATTAAGGAGCGCTCGTGATTTCCTTGCTAAAAGAGTTCCATGCCCAAAATGATTTCACCAAGAATCCCAACTCGATTTTATAAGCTTCTTTCACGTTTCCTCACAGAGCAGTCGCAAACTACATCGGCTACAAGTCCCTCATAAACACCGTTTATTTTTCACCGCGAGAACAAGTCCTCGAGACGTACTACGAGTACATGTCACAGCATGGGTTGAACTTCAACCGAACAGAAAAGTGCAGAGAGATTGCCGAAAGCATGAGACTGGTGCTTTACCATCACTACTTCCGTATCAACAAGGCCAGATTAGAAAAGCAGAGAGCACTGGCAAGTACTTATGGCACTGTGCCACTTGGAAAAAATAACCATTGTAACGTTGCCATTGTGGAAATAATTTCTCAAACGTCTTGCAGACAAAACACATGTTGAAACAAGCGAAGGCCCAGTTCGGTTTGACGATACGCGCCGCTTCGTGGATCGGCCAACACGCCAAAGAGCTCCTCCTTCGAAAGGTAAGGTGTCGGCTGGAGAAGGGAGCCCTACTTCACCACACAATTATGGACACTGAAGATAAGCATTGCTCTTTTTGTGTTCGGGTGGCAGCGCCTTTAACCACTGAAAGGCAGATAATCTTACAATTCGGGCGTGAAAACTCCTTCGTTTTCAACTTCTGGCTCAGAAAGAGCAGCCCGCCATCTTTCTAAATATCTCGGTCAAATTTTCGCGAATTTTTTAAAAATCTTTTTTAATCTTTCTTCATGCGCCAAACTGGTAAAAACTTAGATAACCATCTTACCAGGGCTAGCCCCCCCCCCCCCCCCTTTAATTAATAAAATGGCGATTTGCAGTCCACATCTGTTTTCTTTTGTGATTGATGGAGCAAACTTGTCGCAGCTCGAACGTGTGAAAGCATTGGTTGGATACACTGACTGGCTGTTGAACCCCGACAACCTTTGGGATTTTTACGCCATGGTGAGTGGGTCTGTGCGCTCCTCCGCGTAAAAGGCGCTTTTCAACCCTCATACTTTAAAAGACTTATTCCAGGGAGGGGCTCCTAACAGCACAAAGCCATTCTTGAGAAGACTGACGTATCACAGAATCAAGAAGTACAGCCAGCAAATACGGGAGCTCACTTCGCCCAGAGAACCAGAGTGAGTAGAGTTCTGTGAAATACCAAGCGGGGAATCGGCCAGTAACGAAAATATTATCCTGAATAATTACCGACATGCATTTTCTTGGGTCAGAACCACACTCACATAATTGCTGCACATTTGGCTTAAAACGACAGATTTTGGTGCACAAAGAGATGCAAATTTATTTTCGACAACGATAAGCGCTATATTGTCTTGGGGAGCGTAGCTAAAGGTAATGGATGCCATGACACCCATTCGACTATATCGGCAGACAAACGAAGAAGAAAAACGTTGTAAGACCATAATGATAAACCCGAGACTGGGAACAATTAAAAAGTGACAATCAAGCAGACACCATTTTAAATTTGTTTTTATTTTCTCAGTCTCGGGTTTATCATTATGCAGTTAGTTCACCAGCTTGCCTGCGTTTTTCACATTCAACGCTGTAAGATAAATGGAAATAACGCCAAAACCGGACGGAGATCAAACCAACAGCCCATAATTTTTTATAGTTTAAAGCTTAAATTTACATGTTAATCATTCCTCTTTTCACAAATTACTGCTATTCACATTTCCTCCGCAAGTAAAATATATATGGGTGATTTCAGATAGGATCGCGCCAACGTGTGGCTGGTCAATATTTTTAAATCAACTGATGTTTTTATATGTTATTATCTATAGTCTAGTATAAACAAACCCACGACCATAAACCAGAAACCAGACCAGAAAAAAAAATTGGGGGATAGGAAAAATCGTAAGGCATGAAAAGGTGGACAGTTGCATTAACGTACACTGATGGAGGGGACACGTTTGAAACTGAATAACTTAAATTATAAAATTAGAAGAATTCTAATACTTTCTAAAAACAACCTATAAGTACAGCTTGCTTGTAGTATAAAGTAATATAATTTATTTAAATTTTATTTATTTTTCTAAAAATTTCCAAACTTGTTTGCTCGAACGACAAATGTCAAAATTTCGAGGCATGTATCTCGTGAAATAATTTAGTCCTTCTCATATAATTTGCAGTTAGTATTCTACTTACATATGGCTAATATTTAACAAATAAATTAGGTATTTTACTGATACAATAGTCGGGATATATTTAGGTAAACATGGGGAAAAAGCAAACAACAAACATTTCCGATGCCAATAAAAAAAAAACACCGCCTTCAATTTTTTTTTCTTTTTTAAAATTTGGGTATTTTGTCATAATCTATTTCGGCATAAATTTCTATTAAAAACATGTTGCATTATTTTGTTGAGCAAGAAGACACAACTCCCCAAAGCAGAATTCTTTTCCACAGCCTACACTTAGCAGTGCTCTATACGAGAGGTGACTCTGAGGTTCAGTTTCAGGAAACTAACACACATCTTTCACATATATTTATTCAGATGAGGTCACTGACAACTAGAGCAATACCTCATCCCCCTCTCGTCCACAGACATCACAGGAACGCACTCCCAAGCGTCCTTACGATGAAACTAGCTTTGATTTTGAACAGTTTCAAGAGGAGGTAGAACACAAATTCGAACTCATAATAGCCCGACTTGACCTGCATTCCGCACCCCACCCTCCTCCGCCATCAACCCCCCCGGATGCGGTTCTCGAAACGATTGCCCATCTTTCCCAACAAATGGAGACCATGAATGCCATGCGGATTCTTGGGCGAGTTGGTACTGAAACTTGGAGAACATAATAGCGCTTCACGACAGGGACGAAGAGTAGGAACGAGACAACACAATGCGCTATTGTGTTGTCTCGTTCCTACTCTTCATCCCTGTCGTGAAGCGCTATTATTTTCCATGAATGCCAGCCCAATTCTCGCCTCGAGTCAGAGCTCTGCCTCCTTAAACGCCCTGGTTCAGTTCACGCTCGTCCCTGCCCATCCCCAAACCTGTCCCCCAATGATGACTAAGTCAAATAAAGTCACCGAAAGTCACCGAGGACCTAGACCGCTCGCCACTGGGGCAACCTCCTTTGCACCAAACATGGTTCGATGGGACGACCGGAGTACTAGAACGGTCCCACTCTCTCCAGAGAAAGAGAAGTGGCGAATGGAGAGTAAACTCGTCGAGCAGACCAAGCACCGCCAGTCCATTTCACCACTATGCAACCCTTCTCCACCCACCCCCTCTTCATATTAACCCGCACCATCCCAACCTCCAACACTGTCCCTTCCATTAACAGCAACTAAGCTACCTTTCGACATACCGGAGTTTCAACGCCAGCTCCAGCAGACCCAACAAGCACAACAGTCCAGGCTCTACACCCACCAGAAAGCCCTGCGGCAACAACAAGCCACGCTAACAGGCCATACATCGAGTAACGCAACATTTCCAGCACAATATTCAAGCAATTGGTCCCATCATCAATCAACATGGATACGCACAAACAGCAGAACCCAAGCCCGGCGCCCAACGGACCACCTAAACGCGCGCTCCCCCCCCCCCCCCCCCCCCACGTCCTGCAGTTGAATTTCCGCTCTTTCGCCTAATCGGTGGGCCGGCAGCACTCCTACTGCAAGAAACGCGGGAAACAAGCCCTTCCATCTCGTGTTATAACAGATACTTTCGACTTACGATAGAGCATAAACTCTGCGGCCAATCCCACGATCGGTCGCTTACCGTCAAAGACTCAGGCCGCCGTGTTTGTACGTAAGGATCTTCAACCGACCCAAGTCGACCTGTCCAGATACAGCAACTCCTTTCAAGAAGTTGTGGCGATCCGCTGCACTCTAGGACGTCGTCCATTCATTCTCGTCTCTTACTACGTGAGACCCCAACCCAGCTGCTCCCGAAGCGGTCATTCCGGCCCGATCGGGTTCTAGCGGATGAAAGACTTGTGGCAACGATGCCCTAAGGACCGTATCCTCGTAGCAAAGGACTTCTATGCCCATCACCCGGACTGGGGCCACTCCATAGCACAGCAGACCCACACGGCCTGATACTTCAAGAGGCGGCAGAGCTCGTGCATCTTAGGCTCACCAACGACCTCAGCTATCCAACGCGATACGAACTTCATAAGGGCCAGCACGACACTGTCCCTGACCTGGGTTGACACTGGCCTGGTACGGGAGTGGCGGTGCGACCAAGACCCCGTAGGCTCTGACCACTATCCCATCTGGCTGTAATTGGCGACCGGAGGCAGAACTGACCGCGTACGTCCGACGAAAATCGTCAACTGGGATGCCTTTCGACAAGCCATCGCTATTTACGAAGACTCCGCCCCATCACCACGAAGTTACTGAGAGCAGCAGAATTCGCCACACACCACCTGGTTGTGTGCTAACAGGACACAACTCCCGACAAATACTTCGCCAACATCTGCGAAGCCCGCAAGCGTCTTCATCAGATGTACATATCCAAAGGCAAGCGCTTTATGGATCTGGTGTGTTTCGCCACAAGGCAGCACAAGCCCGTCCGTACGCCAAGCGGCTGACCCGCACACGGCGGTTTGACCACTGTGCTACCTTCGACGAGAAGACGGCTACCTGCGAACTCTGGCACAGTCAATAAGCTCTGGCGAGCAAGACCAAAGCGCCCAATATCGCCCGCACCATTCAACTCGACAGCAGTACCCCAGAACAATTCGAAAAGGGGTAGGCCAGGACCTTCTTTCCGCAACCGTTCAACCCACCAGACCCGAGCCTGTACGAACCGCGAATCGCCGGCGATAACGGACAGGACGCGCCATTTACGTTGCAAGAGCAGCTCCGGGCACTGGACTCCTTAGCGAGCGCAGCGCCTCGGGCAACGACGGCATCAAGTGGCGTATGCTCAGCAACCTCGATGAGCCCGAGAAAAGACAGCTCCTGGCCGATCTCAATACAGTATGGGCTACAGCAAATTTACCAGACGACTGGAAGCATTTGGTGGTGCACCCCATCACCAAAGCGGGGAAGAAGCCGGAACGTGTAGAGAACCTCGACCCCATCTCACTAACCTCCACCTTATGCAAACTCCTAAAGCGGCTAATCCTGACCAGGCTTACCTACATACTGGAAGAAACAGGAACCGGCCCCTACTACGACGTCGCGCAGACTTGATTTAGTCCCAGTTTATCTACCCGCGAACCCTGCACCTCCTCCGGAGCATGGTGAGCCAGAAGCGCCGCGGTACCAACAAGGTACCTGGGCTCTTGGTGGCGGTCGACCTCCAGAAAGTGTTCAGCACTGTGAAACATTCGGCAGTGATCGAAGCACTCGAGGAATGCGGGGCTCCGTCATCAACGCCGTCAGGGGCTTCCTCAAGAACTGTACTTTAAAAATTAGCTCTATTAAAATCATCTGGTGGGCTAGTTGGCTATACATCTTGGTGAAATTAGCGCAAAGACAAGGGAGGAAGAACGTAGAGACAGGATAGAGCGCTACTTACTGTCTCTACGTTCTTCCTCCCTTGTCTTTGCGCTTACTTTGCCAAGAAATTAGCTGCGGTGCAAAACAATCTTGCACGTTCCCCAGTGTCTGCGGAGTTCCTTAGAGAGATAATAAACCAAAATTTCAATCCTCAAAAAAAAAAAAAAAAAACAGAGCTGGAGATATAGGCGGGACGCTACAATCCCTACAACACTACTGTAGTAAGGCGATATCTCAAATGGGCGGCCGTATTTTTGGAAAACGAAGTCGAGATTGAACCAGACCGACGAGGCGCGTGACCGTCAAGGTACCCAGTTTCCTCCTCTCTGCGCTTCGCTCCCCCAAGGCCGCGAGGCGGAGAAGACGCGAGGCCGTTCCCTCTCCTTCTCGGAGAAACATGACGTCAACATTCCTGCCAAATGCGCCTCTTTTTTTTTAAAAATACGGTCATCCGATCAAGATTTCGCAGTATGAGTGATGTCTTGGTGTTTGTAGCATCCCGTTACACGCTTTTGCCGCGTTTTGGGGAATCCAGATTTCGGTTCAGCATCCTTTTAAAGCGCCATCCTCTCGCCGACGCTGTTCAACCTCGTCACGCGATGGATTGCGAAGGAGCTGCGCACAATTAAACATTTCCAGCTCACAATGTACGCGGATGTAATCACCCTGTAGGTAAATCCCCGCCACACCACGCTCGACACCAAAGCTACCACCCCCACCATGCAAGGGGTCCTGGACGTCCTGGATCGACGGCTACCGGCCACCGGTATGCAGCACTCACCAGAGAAAACACGGCTCCTTGTTATCGGTGGCCTTGAACATAACCACAACCAAATACACCTCACTTTGTCCAATCAACCCATTTACCGCACCCCCGACCGCTGGACCCACGTCCTCGGAGTCCCACTGCACGAAGAAGGCGGCGCGCAAAAATGGCTTAAGCAACTCAAGCTTGCATGGAAGCGACAGCTCCACCTCATCAAGAGGATAGGCAATTACTTTGCTAGTGCCTGCGCACGCACCGTTTGTCTGCTAACTCAAGCAACCCTCCCACCCCAAAGCCTGCTATGGCGCCATATATTTCGAGCTCACCAAGATGCAATAGAAGCAACTAGAGGTCCTTGCCTCGCGAGTGCCTTCGCGCCATCACAGACCGTCCGAATCACACCGTACTTAAGAGCTCTATGCATTTCTTCCCAGCCTCCAAGCCATCATTGAAGTATGACAAGCACCACCGGCGACGCACCTCATCCAAGGCCGGCCTACGCATACTTCAGCTGCGCCCCCGAGTCCTGCGTAGCATCGGTCCCCTTGCACCCCCAAGCATACCGCCATGAGAGAACGTCTTGGTTCGACAGCCCAAACCTCACACTCGCCGGCAAAACCGCGACGACCATACAGAAGAAAGAGCGAGCCTCGACGCACACACTGACGCAGTGGAGAATGCTATCTTCTCGGACACTGCGTGGTACGCCGAGATTAAGCGGGCCACCCTCGCCTACGTTCACGACTAGCATCAGCACACCCAGACCCTTCAATTCGACGACGAACACAGCGTGAGGCGCCTCGAGCTGGGAGCCATACACCTAGCCCTCTTACAACTTTTCCAGGCCTCGACTGGAGCAGAATCATTCACCCGCACCCCGTCTACACGGATTGCCGAGAAGCACTCACCAGGATAGGAAGGACACCACGAACAGGAACGCTCTGACATCAGATCAAGAGCCTTTGCGCCGAACTCCTCACCACCAAGAAAATTCAGGTACCGATCGACTGGGTACTGGGACATGCATATAGCCGCGGCAACGAGGCCGTGCACGGGTGTGCGAGCGAGCAAGAAGCCATCCGTTCAGACCCGGACATCCCAGTCCCCTTCGCACCACCGGACCCCTACCCTGTCCAGCAAAAGGCTGCGGCCCGCCAGGCGGACCGGCGTCGACTTCTCGAGCACACCCGCCTCAACCCCGCACCCCTACCTCCAGGGCTTCCCCTAGTACCTCATTCACAAGGCTCGCGTCAGAGCGGCCTATACCGAGGACGTCCTCCCCAGATGGAGGAACTACACCCCTAAGAGAGGCCGATCACCCGACCAGAAAGACCGCAATGACGACGAAGGGGATCAGGCCATCTCGTCACTCACACTACCGGTGTCCTGCTCCACGTGCAACACAGGCGCCAGACCGACGATCCACCTTCTACTATCGGAGTGCATCGCGGGGTGCCGTTAAGTCCGCGCCCAGTGTGTCACCTCTGACATTCACAGTCTGGAAGAGTGGATATCGCCCCAGAACGCTGCCCGCGCCAAGCACAGGCTTCTTGCGTTGTGGGCCTTTGCACGCGCCACCGGCGTCGACCGCCGAATATAATTTTCCTCTACCCTTTTTTATACCTAGGCCATCGAGCCATCCTTCAAATAAAAAGATCCAATCAATCAATCAATCAGTATATATATATATATATATATATATATATATATATATTTATATTTATATATATATATATATATATATATATTAACTGCGCAATCCACAACTAGATTTACCCTTGCAAAAATCATCAATGAGTTTAACTAAGTATCAATGAGTTTCAACAAAATTGAAATTCATTGATAATCTTGTAAGGGTAGGCAAGGGGGATCGGTGGCCGAGTGGTCTAGCGCACACCAGTTCGGAGTACATGGAGCGAAAGCTCGAGCTGCAGAACCCAGGGATCCTGAGTTTAATCCCCACCCCTGCCCGTTTCGACCTGGATGAGCATCGTACCGGCGTGCGGTCGTATATCACTACTGCGTGGTGCACGTTAAAGACCCCGGGCTAGCGGTTTTTAAATTGCTCATCTACAGCTGGGAGACAAGTCGCCCTTCGTGGCAAGACTAAGTTCTAGGCTGTATAAACGTAGACACAACCCAGTTTTTTTTTTTTTTTCAGATATAGGCTATAGTTTTTTTTTTTTTTTTAAATATAGGCTATAGTTTTTTTTTTTTAAGATGTATTGAGGGAAGTTAAATAAATTAATGGTTCATTTTATGGTACTGTCGGAACATACACCTGCAAAGCGCTTAACGCTTCTTTCCAACTGCCAGAAGCAATGCTAAGTCAAGGAATATTGTTCTTTCTATTTCTATTCAGAACCTGGGAAGACATCACCACAGTAGTGAATGCTGCTTACAACATACGAGACGTTAACGTCAGTAAGTAGGAGGTTCTAGTCACTCTTTGTGGCACTCCTCAGGTCCAAGCTCATAATAATATCTCAAGAGCCAGAGTGAATACTTTTCACAGCAGTGCCATGTCCCCTTGACAGAGGTATATGCTGGGATGCTTCAACAACCCTTCCTCTACTTGGATGCGCCAACGTAAGTCTGCCGCTTACATCTAAAGCAACAATGAAGCAATGCTAAAACTGGCGGACAATAGTCTGTTGCAGGTTAAGGATAGCGGAACAAGCTCCTCCCACAAAGTGTCTTATCCTTACCACTTTAGCAGAGCGAACGCTGGAAAGGAGGAGAGTAGGAAATCCCAATTCTTGGACAGTATAAAGCGCTTTGTGATAGGGACTTCTTTTCACCCTCTTAAAGGGATACTGAACCGAAAATTAGAGCTCACAAAACAAGGCTGGAGCGATCGTCGGGATGCTGCGAAACCCCAAAACACAACTCATACAGCGATATCACTAACGGATGGCCGTATTTTTGGAAAAGAAATGTGCGATTGAACACGGGCCGACGAGGTCGACGAGACATGTGACGCCACGATTCTTATTACCTCTCCTCCTCGCTTCGTCCCGTCGAGCTGGTGAACCGAAGCGAGGAGGGGAGAAGCGAGGCCGCTTCCCTTCATTCTCAACTGTTCCAAGAGCATCGTGACGTCATAGTCCTCGCTTGATCGCGCCCTTCTTTTCCAAAAATACGGCCGTAGGTTCGAAATATCGATGTATGAGTGATGTTTTGGAGTTCGTAGCGACCTGTTCAACACTTCTGCGGCCTTAATTTGCAAAATCCAAACTTCGGTTCAGTATCCCTTTCATCTGCAACAGACCATATAGTGTACAGGAGAAGCAAGTTGTACTCAGGGAATCAGAGGCTTTGTTATGTCCCAAGTTAGAAGTTCACATGAGCCCCAAATAAGGTCGAGTTTGCCCTGCATGCAAGGTGGGAACCTCCCTCAGTCTTTTCGCAGAGATTGAATGCTTTGTTGTTTACGCCGGCTTAGGACCACACAGATTATTTTAATTATGCGTCCTTCCTCATGCGTTAGTGCGGAAAGGTTAATATTTTACCATTGTCCCCAAGAGGATGAGAACAGCGGGGCGTCTTTTGCGGATGCCCGACATCCAGCACGCGGTCGTTACCTCCCGCTGTGCTTTGGCAGCGCAAAAGGCAATGCGCTGCGCAAATCTGCGCTGCGCATTTTTCCTGTTGAGTTTTTACCTGACGTTTTCGTACGAGGCAACAAAATTCAACTTCACCTTTCTTTAGAGATTACTTTTCAAATATTCACAGACCAACTCGCTGTTTAGAAACAAACCCTTGTTTGCCCACACCAGATGCGCGCATCCGCGGAATTCAATTTTACGTGAAGAGAAGCGCCTGCTCGTGCACAGTGCCGACAGCAGCGCCACCGTAGCGGCGTGACGTAAGAGGCCCATTGAAATAGATCAAGCCACTCAAAGATACCATGTATAGTCAAAACGGAAGGTGCAAGGCATGTAAAAAGGCAGTTCACAAAAACATGACAAAAAGCAGTCTGCTACAACTTCAAGGCTAACTTCTTGATCTACGATAAAACAAATATTTCTCAGAACAGACAGAAGATTGCCGTCTTTCTGACTGAGGCACGGCAAAGCAGAGTAGAAGCGGTGCAGCTCGTACTTGTCTGCTTTGCAGGTACGTCAATTACGGCACGGTCGGTTTTGTGGCCGGTCACGAGATCATTCATGCCTTCGATGATCGAGGTGAGTAAGGCCTTCCACGAACTGATAAGATCAGTCAATCTTGTTTCGGGCTTTAAAGCTTCCGTACTCTTCCCGCGCCAGGGATCACGATTGACGAACACGGCGTGGATTTTAAGAGCGACGAGTGGGAAAGAGCGACAAGGAAAGAATTCGATCGGCGCATGCAGTCCATCATCGACCTCTACACAACAAGGTTCCAGGTATCGACATGCACATTTTAAATGCATGGCATTTATGGGGACAGCCTCGGGGAGTTCGCGGCCCCGGATGTAGCCTCGATGACGTCACAATGTCACGTGACACCATGACACAACATAACCATGACGTCACGTGACAATATGACGTCGGGTGTACCACGACGTCACGCAACAGTGTTATGTCATGGTTTCACATGACGTCACACCACGACGTGCTATCGTCACGTCACGACGTGTGACATGACGTCACGTGACGGCAAGGAATCACGTGACACTGTGACGTAACCCTCGCAATGTGCCATTTTATGGCCTGCCTACTTACAGTGCCCGCAAAAGGAGGAACGCGATAAAGGCTATGCAAGGCATGACTTCTTTACATTATTAATTTACCCTTTCGTTGATAACAAAGTATTTTAAGTGAGCTAAATAAACCAAATAAATAATGTAGCAGACTAAAACACGTTCTCTGGGTAGGAAAAAAACGGCGTTGATAGGGAGCTATTTTCCCGACGGCAAAGGCACTTCAAGCGGGCGCATGACTTGTGGGCGAAGCCGCAACATTTTTCTTAACTTGTCACTAACTGTAGGCGGCGCACTTCGCATCTCGGGACGGAAGCAGTGTGTGTAGTTGGGCGAGTTGGTGCATAGTCAAAATAAATGAAACAGCGCAAGAACAGAGAAAGAATTACACGCACAGCACTGTGTCTGCATCTCTTCCTCTTGTACCTGTGTACTTTGTTTTTGGCGCTGTTATATCTAGGGTGTTCGAAATAACGAGGCTCGATTTTAAATGAGCCATACAAATCGGCGCCTTCACGTAGGAATCTAAACTTCTCGTCAAAGGTGTATATCACAAATCGGTTTTATCTTCTAAAATTACAAAGTGCGGCTCCTTTTCTGTAAAAAATAGGGCCAAAAAACTTGTCAGGGTTAACGGCGGACGGCGACGCAGAGTCGAGTGGTGGGCGCGTTTGGCGCAAGTATTGATAGGTGACGTCGGGAGCAGCGTCGGAAGGTGTACCATCTAGCAGACCAGCGAAAGAAAGCAGACGACACGCAGGCGAAATCCGTTGGCAGCAAAAGCGCCGTCGTTATGCAACCGCGTTTTTTTTTTTTTACTTCAAGTTTTACTTTTATTGCCCGCATTTATTTTTAAACCAAAGGTACATCACAAAAGCGTTATGTTTATTTCAATCAACCACCGTCGTCGCGAGCAGTCTCGATAAGGAGGTAGCGTCATCTATCAATACGTGCACCAAGAGCACCTCGCCACTCGAGTCGATCGTGTTCTTCGAAGTCTGCCGTTGCCCCTGGCAAGTTTTTGGCCCTACCCTATTTCTTTTACAGAAGGGGAGCTACGCTTTGTAATTTTAGAAGATAAAACCGACCTGTGAAATATACCTTTGACGAAAGGTTTAGTTTGCTACGGTGCAGGCGCCGAATTTTACGGCCCAATTTGGATCGAGCTTGGTTTTTTCAAACAACCTATAATTTGGCGACCAGTAATCCCCGTCATAAGTTCAACTCTAATCTCCTCGAACTCGTCGAGAACAATCCCGTCGAGCTGCTTGAGCACCGCAAGTTTGAAATCAGAAATACTTTTAAGATTATTCCGCACCACACTCAGTAAAGGTTTGACCGGTTCACCAAATGTGTTCATTAAATTATCTGTTTCACGTTAGCTCAGAGCGTCTAACAATGTTTTTCCGAATCTCTTGTGCTCCTCTCTGAAGCCTCATAGTTTTTCGATTAGACATCCGCGTTTCCCGAACGATAGCTTTGTGCCCGCTGCACGATTGGTAACTTGGGTGTACCCCCGCGTTTCCAACGTGCTTCAAGTCGATCTAAAATTGGCTGATTTAGTGGTTTTCGACGATGCTCAGCAAGTTTCTCATTGAAACCATATGTTCATTTTCACTAACTAAAAGATAATTAACGAATTTTAGTTAATGACTCAACAGGCTGTGGCGATTATTCGCTCTTCTAATGTCCACCGAACTCCACAAACACCCAGCGAATACGACAGTCACATAGCAGTTTGCACCTTTTTTTTTAAATTCTGTTGCGAATAAAAAATTTTCCTCATTATATATTGATGTCACGTGACCTATACTATACAAGAGTGTATATAGTCTCAAAACAAATTCCTGCATTATAGAACTTTGCATGTAAAGGTCGCTGCCAATTTTTATGTTGTATGTTTTGATTGAGCTGCGCTACCGAGAATTACAAATAACGGCACTGGGACTAGGAAGACGACACGCCATACACAAGCGCTTACTTGTGTATCTTGTGCCGTCTTCCTCTTTCCAGTGTCGTTTATTTCAAGTAAATGCAAGGGTGCAGGTGTTGTGGTTAAGAACTGACTTATTAGTTCTTGACCAGCTCACCTGCGCCTGTGTTGGCCTGTTCCTCTCTTTCCCCACTCTCCGGGGTTAAAACTTTTAGTTGTTCATTTGTAATCCTTCGCAGTGCAGTTAATAAAATTGTAGAACTGAGCTCGTAAACCTGACCTTGGTGCGGCAGTGCTCGCTAACGTGAATTCTTTTGAGACTCGACCCTTTAAATGACGTAGTCAAAAGTAACGCGGCCCAAAGGTCAATCTGATAAATGGATAACTGGAATCAGAACGGGCGCAGTGACGCGCGGTTGTTTTTACGAAATCTCTCGACGACTCCTCTCACCTCCAGGTCAATGGCAGCCACACCAGGAATGAAAACCTGCCGGACATGACGGCGGCTGGGATTTCGTTCAGGGTGAGCTTTGCAGGAATCCACAATAGGCTTTTTTTAATGCGTCAGCATAGAACGCTCGTTTCGGCGAAAACCCGGCGGTGTCTTTCGTTTGTTGGTTGTCGCGTGCGACGCTTCCATTGGTCCCAAGCTCTGACGTGAGCACGCATTAAAGTCTCTCTCTATCCCCGGCGCTGACAAACTTACAGACACCGCCGGATTTTCGCCAAAACGAGCCCTTTAGTTTTCGGCAAAGTCACGCGCACAGCTGGGTCAGCGCCATGGCGCTGACCCAGAGAAGATGCGCCGCGCAACATTTCCTAGATAACAAAGCCGTAGAGCTGAATGAGATGGCTTAATCAGAGAAGGCCAACACTGGACACAGATTGGAGACGATACCTGCGTCAACGCTCGGCTTCGTGTAAAGTTTGAGCCGAACGTTGACGCAATCGCCGTGTCCAATCTGTGCCCAGCGTTGGCCTACTCTGGTGACGCCATCTCATTCAGCACAACGGCTTTGTTATCTAGGAGGTGTTGCGCCGCCGCGGCGCGGTGGAATCCGGGCGTGCTCAGTCGTCGCTCTGCCATCGCCGATTGTTTTTCGCTTTGGGTTTCCGTAGTAGCGGTGCGTGGGCTGTGATGTGTGTGTGTAGTTAAAACGATGGATGCGGTTCGCTGCACGAGTGATATGGATGCGGTTCCTTCCACAAGTGGTGTGGATGTGGTTCTTTCCACGAGTATTATGGATGACCGTATCCAAGGGAGTCAACCAACTCTGAACGGCAGAGTACGAAAAAGGGTTAAAAAATTACAGGAAGATCCATTGGTGGATTCTTGGAGAATCCGTTAGCATATGACTCTTGGGAAACGCCACACACGCCCCCTTTTGGGAAATGCTAACACTGACCCCGTAACGAGGCCAAAAAGAGGCAGCAAAATATAGAAGCAAAAAAGAAAAAAAGTCAAAAGAAAGAAGTGAAGGGGTCAGCGCTAACGTTTTCCAAAACGGATGTGTGTGGCGTTTCCAAGGGTCATGCTAACGCATTCCCGAAAAACTCACCAATAGATCTACCTGTTTTTTTTTTTTTTTTTTCTTTTTGAGCACCTCCCACATTAAAAGCAACCCGTTTCTGCAGTCTTACAAAATTGACCCCGAAAGCCAGGAGGCTCCAGCGTTGCCAGGGCTTGAGAGGTACACCAACGACCAGTTGTACTTCCTGTCGTTTGCCTCGGTAAGTTATCTCAGTTTGGCCGAGGGTCTGTCTCCCTAATATGGCATTTTTGAACGCGATAGCATTCATTAGCGAACCCTATCCACTTTCGCGTCCGTGGCTTGGTTTGTAATTAACGAAGCCGACTGCACGCGTCTGATATATATGCGGTGAGAAGCTCGCTAGGGGCATTGCTGTTTTCCTCACTTTGGGTAGTGCACGTGTTACCCACGAGGTAATGTTTTCATTTTCATAGTGCAGAGAAGCTTGACACTGCGCGTGCTTGCACCAGCAGTGGAAGTTGAAGTATCCTCACTCTGGGTTGTGAAAAAATTCCACCAGGCGGCGATGCCCAAACTTCTCGCCGCGAATACCTACTTCAATAGGCACTTTTCGAAACCCTCTTGGCACGAGGCGTGTGATTGGATCCGAGTCCTCGCCGAGCGAGGACGCAGAACTCGTGGCCAATACATGCTCAAAGCACATGTCCAAACAATGGCAGACTCGCGGGTGGCTGCTCGTACAGCAAAGGAGCTAAGAAAGTCTCACAGGCTATGGTCCCTGGCTCTACGGGACCACCCGATTTAAAGGGAACAGTCGCGAATCATCATCATCGTCATCATCATCGGTTGCAAAGGATTGTTATACGCATCCAGGGAGTAATGTGCCCAACGAATGTACTAATATGATATATTAGCTTCTGAATGACAAATGCAGTCACCGAAGGACCTATTGTGTTTCTAACCATGTTCACGCATCTTGTAGCAAGAGAGGAACACTTGAATTGAAGGAATGCTACAACAAAAGTTGCTGTTTGGTCGCGGAAGGCCCGTCCGCGAGAAGTGAGCAGTTAGATCAGAGAAGTATGCGAATGGATTTTAACAAAGGATAGAAGACTTCATGGGCGTCGACGAAAAAGATGCTTAGAATTTCCACAGCAGTTCCTTGGCAGCTTAAACAAGAAGGCAGCCAGGGATAGGCAGTATTTCAAATACAAGTATTTGAAATACGTATTTCAAATACTTTGTGTATTTTGCATTTGTATTCAATTACAAATTGGGTAATGTATTTGACGTGTGTATTTAAATACTAAAACGTGGGTATTTCAAATACAATTGTAATTAAATACAATTTGGCGGGTGAAAATACATCCCTCAAATTTATTGTCACGACAATTCTTGTTTTTATGCATGTGGTTATAAGATTTAGTCTCCATCCTTTATTCGGCCATGGGGCTTTTTTCTTTTTCTCCTCCGGCTTTATTTTAAGGACACTGTCCAGAGCAGGAAGAAAACTACGTCCTGCACCGGATGCAGTGTCTCTCAATCAAGCACAATCGTTTAGCGACTTTGTGATTACGGTGCTAGTCCAGGGCAAGAATAGTGACGAAATCGACGTTCACAGGCAGACTGGCTAAATAAGTCCCTGTGACAACTTGTGATGCTTTCCAGCTTGATTTCCATCCATATTTTTTCCTGGAACATTCTAGATGCGCGGGTCGTCCAGATTTTCGTAACTGGTGCGAGTTGCTACAATAAAAAATTCTCAAGCTAGAGCTGCGCGTCTTGGTCGTCTCGGTTCTTTGTTGGTCTGTACCAAAATGTAATCGACAAAAAAAGCTGCTTGAAGCTCTGTACTTTTTTTTACCTATTACGTCCAAGCTGATAACATTTTTTTTTTTGTGATTATATTTCTATTACGTTACTAGAGCCTCGCACACTAACTCCCGAGTGTGCGATGCAAAATTAAATTGAGATACCCAGAAACCCGTTGCAGGTTCCCTGAAGCCGCTGACGCAAATTTTGAGGAATGTATTTGGAAGAGTATTTGGAGGAGACCAAATACATTTGGTTGTATTTGTATCTTGTATTTAAATGCTTTTTTGGAAATGTAATTAGTTTTGTAATTAAATACATCTTTGACGAAGTATTTTGTATTTGTATTTCGATACATGTTTTCATGTATTTTGCCCATCCTTGCAAGAAACGTTTACCCAGTACAAGACGGTGCAAATTGCACGTTTCAGTGACAATCTACGCTGCGATTTCTTCAACAATTTCTTTTTTTCTTTCTCTGCAAACCGACAGATATGGTGCAACAACAACGAGTATGATCCCATGTCGATATACAGTCCACACCACGCAAGGTACGCCTGCTTTCACAAAACTCGCAGTGTTCGTTTGCCGCGAGACTGCTTCTTTCGTATTGAACGGCACTCCTTATTAGGGAATTGTAGTAGAGCGTTTCCGCAGCCCGCTAAGCACTCGGATAGCGCTCCGTAATCCGCCACAAGACCTTGAACTATGCACACAAGGCTGGGTGCGGCGTTTTCTTCGGGGATACCGTAGCGGAGGAGAAAAACGATATACTACAAGTCCCTATTATCTCGTTTCCTTCTCATATCGGTACAGGGTCGTTTTCCAAATACTCAAGTATATGTTCCCTGAAAGTTGGGGTATTCTATGCCCTTGTCCTGTTTTCATCAGCATAAACTCCCGATTAATCCCAACGTTTATCCGTTACGAAATATAAACACCGAGGGGAGGGGGGGGGGGGGGGCGCTTGTGTGAGTGTGCCTTCTTACTTGTGTCCGTTGTTTTTTGCGCCTCACGCCATGCTTCATAACGTTCACCAACTATCCCAACTACAAGGTCTTCTACTGAGCACCCAAAGAAAGAAAACAAATCAAAGAAAATGAAACCCCGAAAACATGGTACCCCGGTTATAACGTAATCTGCGTTGATATCCAAAGCTGCACATCCTCTCAGTTGCTCAAAAGCCTGCCAAAGTGAGGGCTTGTCACACTATTCGCAACTCCAGCGCGCCGCTCGCCCTCCCGCGGACGAACGGAGAACCAGAGGAGCGGGGACGGCGGAGCCGGCGGCGGCGGCGGCGGCGGCGGCGGCGGCGCGGAAACGGTGGCAGGGACTGCCGGCTTTGATGCGTGAAGCCGTTTTAACGAAAAACGTGAACGCGTTAAAAAAGGAATTCTTGTGCTCCGCCTTGCAACCGCCTTGCACGAAGGACCGGGATGTCTAACTTTATTAGGGACTTTTCGTGTATCGCATACGCTGCGGATTTCTGGTCTTGTGCATGGCCACCAGCTCAATCTGTACTCAACGTGACGAAAAACGCTCCCACTAATAATGAAGAACTCTATAGTACGGTCTACGGAAAGTCTATTCTTTGCCATAAGTAGGAGAAAACTCGTCGCGCAATGGTATGTCGAGCAATACAAATCGGGAATGGGTTCGCGTTTTAAGGCGTTACAAGGAACATGACCATTTATTCCAAGCACTTCAAAAAGACAGAATACCCGTACTTGCTTTCAGGTGATTACAAAGCAAATAAAAAAGGCTAGAAGCATTTTAAGCGGTTCTGTGTTAGGCAGCCGTTTGTGACGAGAGCTTAGAACGCGCAGTTTTGGCCAGAGGGACCGGAATGTTGCAAATAACGCGGTGCAAAAAATGTACGGTATATTAAAATATTTATTTTCGATAAATCGATAAATGAAACCCATAAACACGCCGGTTATGTTAATAGGCAGTTTCTGCAGAGCGTACGACACCCCTAAACTTCGTTTGGACGTACAGCGCACTGACGTTCAACCAGTGCTACCAACTTTCACGAGCGACTTGTTAGCCGAGTTGTGCAACCTTTTTAAAATAACCCAAGTAAGTGTGAATGACTGTAAAAAACTAATAATAATCGGGGTTTTCTTGGCCTTACTGCGAAACCTCGTGTTGTTTTTTTTCGGTACTCTTTGATGCGTACTTTAGCAGTTTAATATCTTATAATGCACCGTCACCAAGCCTCTCGTAAAAGTTGGGGCCGTCAGTTTGACGTCGATGGGCTGCACGGCGAACTGAAATTTTGGAGTGTCGTATATGTGCCAAGGGGTGTAAGGACTACAACATTTTGTTTTTTTTAGAATGATGAGCACGGCAACGCTCCTGGCGTGCACTGAAAATTGTACTTCAAAGGCACAGCGCGAGCTTGCGGTTGTAATGCTACACCGCACGGTAGCCTGCGGTAAAAAAACTTTCTATTAATAACTATAGAGCAGTTTCATTACGTGTTGCAGTACTAACACCGGGACGGCGAGCAGCGAGTTGTGAGCCTGTGACGCGAAGACACCAATACTGTGAACCAGGGCCGTAACCAGGGGGGGGGGGGGGTTAGGGGGTTCTGACCCCCCCCCCCCCCCCCCCCCCCGAAATTTTTTTCTGGGTACGGCCCTGGTCGGTGCACTGGCAGCCAGCCGATTTTAATCTCCACTTCTGCGCACGCGCAGTGGCGCCGGTCGGCTACTGGGTACCAAACCGGGACTGGTTCTCCGGTTTGCTGTAACTCTCCATTATATGCCACTGATGCACATGATTCATAGGCGAAAATAAGACAATAGACACTTTCAAAATGGCCGCCGTTGTCCCCGAAAACCCCCCCCCGAAATTTTTTTCTGGGTACGGCCCTGCTGTGAACGCTGCTCTTCCGAAGCTTGACGGTCAGCGTTCTCGGCTCTTTTTTTAGAGAACTAATGGCCCAGGCAAAGCCGCAAACATATCTTCATCGCCCTCAAAAATATTCTGCCACAAACAGTAACCTGGCCGGTGCCTAAAACGCGCTCGCTCACCCCAAAGCTTCGCAATTTGAGGTTTCTGCAACTTCTAAATAACAGCATGCTCGTTTTCCTAACGTGTATCAGCATCTACGTCACCTTTAATATGATCCCTTCATAACCGCTTCGCATTTGTAGACCAATAAATAATTTTTAGCGCGCTGAACAGCGTCAGCGCGAGCAGGCGCGCGGGGTATCCTGGAGAATCTATACCCGTCTCTTCCGCCATCTTGGAACTACCGCCCCGCCACCTATAGGGCGTTGGAGTTGCGAATAGTCAATGACAGATTGAGAACACAAGGGCGTGTCTTCGGAACGCTTGGCCTCTAACACGTGCTCCTTGCCTTCCATTGTGCTTTGGCCTCGCGCCAGCGCGCTCGAGTTGAAGGAGATGTTGAAGCGTTGTCGAAGGCGAGAAGCTCGCGTTGAAGGTGAGAAGCTCGCGTTGAAGGCGAGAAGTTGCAGTCTCTCTACATATCTGTGCGGGAAGTAACTGTGCACTATGGTGATATAAGTTTAGAAAGTTATATACGTAAAGACAGAAGACGGGACAACACATCTTTGCACGGCTCTCTTTTCAGGGTGAATGGGCCCCTCATGAACTTGGCCGAGTTTGCACAAGCCTTCCGGTGCCCAGCAGACACAAACATGAACCCAAAGGACAAGAAAGCCGTCTGGGCGACGTGACCTGTTCCAGCAGCTTGGGCTAACTAGGTTGACAGGATATGTTGCTCCGCTAGAAGCTTCCTCGCACAGAAGGGAAGAGGCTGTTTTAGAGAGAACTGCTTAGAAATCTGGAATTAGCTCAGCACGTTGTGCATTCCCACTTTAGGAGGCATACTCACATGCTGTTGCTATGCCCGTCTCAACCGGTGGAAGAAAACGAACCACTTTTCCTTTACCTATGTGAATAAGCTAGGGTGGGGGCTCGATCGACACCTCCAAGTGGTGAGGCCATAATGCCGGATTCCGGTTCGACAGGAGTGCTGCGTCGACGTCATCATCATTTGACCTGGACTCGTGTTCAGTTAGCGAGAACACGAGTCCCGGCTGAACACTGACACAGCACTTGTGTTGCCCCGCGCTGTTCTACTATAGGCTATGTAGAAAGTTCAGCACTACGGCCTCGCTTTCTAAGAGGTGCTGGTTAGAGAGCTTGTACGTGGAGCTCAAGTTCGTCTGCTACTTTTGCAGGGGTTGTGGTGACGTCAGAACGCCGAGCTCCGATTGGCTCCGTTCGAAGGATAGTGGGTAGACCTCAAAGCAAGCTGCCCCGAGGTCTACCGACTATCCTTCAATCAGAGCCAATTAGAACTCGGCGTTCTGACGTCACCACAGCCCATGCAAAAAAAGCAGACGAGCTTGAGCTCCGCATTGCAGAGGGTTTCCAACTGCTCAATCGGGGTCACGGGGTTCACGGGCAGCGTTTGCAATACGAGCTGCGACGAGGTGCCGGAAGCTTTGATTGTCTGCAAACAGCTCTACCTGCTTTCCTCCTCGCCACGCGAAAACGCAGCTCACGCGCACTTGCGACCAATTTCCGCGGGTGGCGTCCTCCATTAAATTGCAAACGCTCCTCGTGTTTCGAGATGGACCCTCTTTTGCAATCTAGGCTCTCTATAGTGTTGGTTGGATGGTCCCAACCTTTTTCTCCGTTGAAGGGCCATTATTCCGGGGGAGTGCATTGTGAATAAAACGGAGAGTGCGGCTGAGCACCAATTTGAACGTTTCTTGTAGTGGCACTATATTTCTCGCCTTCTAATCGCTTCACGTTTGTTTGTCATCAGATGTGGTGTCACACGCAGACACCCTATCGTGTGAAGGTATTCGTTGGTTCAGGATGGGACCTGCACAACGGCCACCTAAAGCTTTTTTGTTGTTGTTTTTCGTCTCAATTTTTAAAGCATGGAATCTGTTCGTTTTAATGGAAACCACTAATCCCAGATATTTGTGCGTTCATTGGTACGTGGAAAAAGCGGGGAAATGGACATCATGTGATGTCGGAGTATCACGTGACACCACGCCTTGACCCCGTGATGAAACGTCACGTGCCCACGTCGCGTGACGTCAGTTTTTCCGTCAAATTTAGCAGGAAAATTGATGCCACGTCATCCGACGTCAAGTGACCTCGGGGTCGCGTAACACTACGACTTGACACCGTGACGTCAACTTCCCCCATATGTTATTCTTCACTCTCCAAAACGAGTGCTTAACAAATCCAAACGATTTAAAATTTAATTGAAAGATTTTGTGACAATGTAGTAATAATTTTTTAGGTATTAATTGACCGATTCCCATGTTTATCCCGATTTAAAAATTGTGCCAAAAAGAGTGCCGCAAGCCGAATGACGTAGTCGTCCTTTCAATCACGTCGTTACTTACGTAGTCTCTGCACCCACCAAAGACACGATCCGCGGAGAGGGGTAACCCCCTCACTCTCTTCAGTCCGCCACCCGACGTTTGAAGCGCCATCTATATTTTGATTTCAAAACTGCGTATTCCATATAGTACCCAGAAATGCCACATAGACGCCGTGCTTCGAAAAATACGTTTTTCATAGAAATTTTGTAGAATACACTGCAGTTACCATAGCAAACGTCCATCAAAAAGATGTGGCGCGTCCAATGACGGGAGGCGAGTCGTTAGGGGAGAGGGGTATACTGCTCGTGCAAGCAGCGTCTATGATGATGATGCAATTAATGCAAAGGTGCAAGCGAGCTGGACAATGACGATTTATCGCTATCCTTGTCCGGCTCGCTTGCACCTTTGCATTACCATCACAACCTTAAAACGCAGGCCGTTCACTCCTGTTGGTGGGCAGCTGATAAAACCCGTTTGCTCTACTGACGCCCAACTCCTGGTTAGCTCAGGTGGTACAGTGCTCTAATGGAAACGGAGAGGCGGATTGTTTCGGTCGCGGCCCAGTCACCTAGCCGTGTTTGGATATCTTTGTCCTTTGTCCCCCTTGCTCCCCTTCTCCAGGGATTATTATCGGCAGGTTCTATGGCCAGTTCCATACTGAGCTAATCTAGTAGCGTTGCATGCTGCCGAGATAGGGACATGATTAAAAAGAAAATCTATTACATTTTCACAAATTCTTTTAGTAGGTTTGGCCTCCAACAGCACTTGCCATCAATACCGAAATTTCAACATGACCTCTAAAAACAATATTGTTTAATTAACGGAATTTAGTTAATTAGCTAACTTTCCATGACGGTTCCCTCATCTAATGTGCGCTGGGCCTGATAAGTACATAGTGAAGACGGCACGTCTAACTCTAACCCCCTTAAAAGCAAATATATTCTAACTAAGACTTTTGCTGCAAGGTAGTGTTCTTACATCAGCAATCACCAAGTTCCCTTTTAGCACAGAATGTGCTTATGGGCTGGATTTCATGCGAAAAAAGTCACGCTCCCATGTGACGAAAAAGCATTACACAGAGGCCAAGGCAGCATAAATCGTACACAGCCCGTAATAGGCAATGCATAAGCATCCAAGGAGAATGCATTCTTAGTCAAAATAATTATATGTGTGCTCATAATTAGGCCTAAGTAATTAATAAAACGAGGACCACCAAGCGGCTCAGTGGGAATCGACCCCGGACTGTGCGACCCGCAGCCCGAAGCCTTTGCTCGGCGCGACGAGAAGAGATGGAAGAGTGAGCAAACAGCAGGGCCAAGTATGACACACGAAGGTGTGCGTGAACAACCCACCGAGATACCGGATTCGCCAAGACAGCAGAGACAGCTTTCCCGACGAATTTATACAATAGATGGCGCCAGCCACCCCTCCCAATTCAAAGGTGAAAACCCCGAGGTTGTACGCGTCCAGCCGTTCTAATTACTCGAAAGCTGTCGGCGCCAGGGCCATTGAGCTTTCGCGGGGTAAGATGGATTCCCTAGTAAAGTATTTGCAGAGCCCGTAAAAACTTCATTAAAGCATACTCCTCCCGACAATCACACACCTAAATAAATTTAAACGTGTCTTTTATCATGATAAACCCAGTGTGTTTTGTGTGCAACACCCCCCAAAAACAGCCTGGCTTCCTGTAACCAAGCATAACTAACCACCACGCACGCATCGTACATGCACGACAGATTCTGCGCTCCCCGGGTTTATCCTAATGATAGAGGCAAGTTTATTTTCCATCCTTTTCGTTTATCCACCCCGCAGGTGCAACATCCCGCTCCAGAGAAGTATTTTCCCCTTAGCACCCGGGTGCGCTGCGGCAAAGCGAGACTTGCAGAAACGAGACGCTTATTGCACGCTTGTCGCTTCACTGCAGTACAGAAGTAAGCAGCGAGAAGCGCTCTCAACGGAGGTAACTAACCCGCCAAAACAGATCAGGAACATGAGCAATACTGCGAAACGTCCGAGAACTGCCAGTGTTTCAAAAAGTGGGCAGTCCTGTATCAATACACAATACAGTCACAGCGATAGCCGAGACACCTCACGGCGAAGTCGCTGGGCATCAGCGGCGCGCACTGAATCGTTGGGAACGAAATGAACATTTGACCAGTTTGTTCCGAACGCTTTGTTTCTTTTTTCTTCCGGAGCTCGTGTTGCGCGTTTCCCGGCACAAACACTTGGCACTGACAGTGCTACAGCGGAATTTCGTTATCAGATATTCTTGTCTGTTTTTACAGTGTGTGCAGCGGGCATCGGGTACTACAAAAAAAAAAAAAAAAAAACCCATATAAAACGGTGTGTTAACTCTGCGACGTAGCTCTGTGGTAACACCTCCGCTTCGTACACAGCGGACCCAGGTTTGAATCTCGTGGGCAATGGGCAATCTCTTTTAAGGATTTGGTAACATCAACAAAGGGCACCCTACTACGACAGTTACGTCTACAACAGACATCATTTCCAATAGTGGGAATAGCCCATACCGCTGTAAAACAGATGAAACCGATTAGAATGTTATTCAAAACGATATTCATAATTTCTGAAAATTCGCATGAGCCTATAGTCGGTAACAGGTCAAGAAGGAAGTGGAAGCCACACCCATCTCTCTCACTTTTGGCAGAGCGGACGCTGGTGAGGAGGCCACCTTCTCTCCACCGTTCGCTCTGCTAAAGTAAAAAGAGGTGGGAGGGGCTTCAAATTCCTTCTTGCCCTGTCACCGACAATACCTAAGTTGTTCGACCGTGTGCCGAAGCCTGAACTACATTATAGTTTCCATATGACGTGAAATTACGTTTTGAAGCAATGTTGGTAAAAATTCCTCATATTTTGGCAAAATAGAACAAGATGTAGCAGGGTAAGCACAGACACAAATGGCGCAGCAATCACACCACTGCAAAAGTTACGACTCCAATAAGTCAATTTCAGACATTTGTGTTCTGAGCACCACTGACTGTCTTGCAACCGCTTACGACGAGGTGCTACTAAGGGTGACTAGGGCTATCAAGAGCCATATGATGCGTCATAGTGGAACACAAAAAGTTGTAATGAAGTCAACTGCCCTCACATCCCAACCGAAAATCGTGTGACGGCTCTGAAAGGGGAAGATGCATTCCAACGATACATTCTCAAATGCCTCGCACAAATGCTCCGATTGGCTCCATCAGTCTGATAGCTTTTGCCATTTGCCAAGGTATGCCAAGACGGAGTATAGTCTTTAGACTTCTAAACAAGCCTGTAGCCTCGTTTACATCAATCTCTATCTTTGGTTTGCTTCAGTATGAAGAGGCTGAATATATGCCAACATTCGACAGGCATTGCTGGTGCCCACACACAGCAAACAATGGCCTCAATGCTGCACAAGAGCTGATTATTCTTGTCCTCCCCCATCACTTTATTCAGTTATTGCTTGTAAGAAACACAGGTTTTTTGTGACAGCCATTTTTTGGTTAATTCTGCAGTAGTTTAGACAGCACAAATTGCAGTGAAGTGCTTCGTGAATCAACGAGGCTTGTCATCTGGTGAAACCATGGAGTCCCCATGCCATTCCAAAGAAGTGAAATGTTCCAGCAGAGTTCAACTGCAACTGTCACCTGGACAGAAGAAATGAAAATACAAGTTTGGCCAAGTGGTTTATTGAGCACTGACCGATCCACAGCTTGTAACGACAGACTTCGCAACAACCGACATTTGCATATAAGAAGCCCATCTGATAGATTTCTTTGTCTCCCTTAGCTGTGCCATAGACACAATTTACAAATCCAATTTTGCTCACAATTTTTTTTTAAAGATTTATTGATGGCAAATGGTTTCTAAAAATAGGTCATGTGACAGCAAAAGTGATGTGATTGGTCCGGGTCATTTTGAAACACCTCTAAGAGTAACCAAAAGTGAATTTTGCAGCAGCGGAAAGAACTTTAGAAGCATAAACCTATATTTCACTCACATTCGTTCCACTGCAAGGTTCGTGTGCAGGCCTCTCCCCCTAACAGATAGTGGTTTCTTAGCTTTCCCGTTCCTACAACCACTCACAAGCAAAGTTCACCCCGAAAGATCGCCCACTCTAAGGTTCTCAGTTTATCTCTCCATTGAAAATGGGTGTTTGTCTGGATATTTGCATATGTTGCCCAAATAGACCTCAAACAAATACTGCAAAGCTTCCAGTACCAATAGCATCTGACAGTGCTGGGCCAAATACTCAGTGACGTGATTGGTTCGATTCATTATGGAGCACCTTATAGGGCAGCCTTTAGTATATTTTGAAGCAGCAAGATACTTTTAAAGCACAAGCACACTCTTCATTCTCCCTCATTCCACTGCAAATACTATATTAAGATTCATCTGTTGGCTTCTCCAATTAGAACACAGTGCTTCTCTATCCCACATCTGTGCAACATCTTACATCTACTTAAATTGCAAACTTAGTTTAAAAATGCATGTCAATTGCATCTTACCTGTAGAGATTTTTGATGATGCAGTCAGCATGTGGACAAAAAATATCCCTGCCACACGGCAAAGTTAATGTCCTTTCCATCTAGTGATATCATGCGATCGGCAAATCAGTTCGCAATTATGACTATGAGAGATGCACGTGCACTGCGCTGCACCAGGAGTGGCGCACCCTGATTGGCCAATCAGATGTCATTCGATGGAGATGACATTAACTATGCCAAGTGGTAGGGGTCTTAAAACCCAGCTGAGCTCATTATTGTTCCTCCCAAGCTCTCATTACATTGCCAAATATACTTTAGCTTTAATTTAACCTTTATGGATTGTATCCAAAAACAGTGGGAGGCCTATTGAGTGATCTGAACTAAACATAAAAATTAAACCTGCAGCACACCTTGGCCACACATAATCGGCGCGATTCATCAACCCTCTCCCAATATTCAAGTTCAAAGTACCGTATTTGCACGAATATAACGCGAGGGCAGGTTTTGATAACCTCAAAAAGAAAAAAAATATAATTACTATTATAATGCGAGCCGAGGCCGTGGCAATTTCTCGCACTCGGGGGCATAGCAGAAGTGAAAAGTCGATGGAAATATAAGAAATATCAGTTTATGTTTTGACTGCACTCATCGTGACTGCTTAGGTCCTTCCGTTTACTATCCACTTGGCGACTACGCAGATAAGCAGCAGCACGGCATCGCTTTTCTGGTAGTTCCTTTTTCGTCCGCGTGAGCTCCTCGGCAGTCCACAATCCAAGCAAGGCACGAAGCAGAAGTGCCAACACACAAACACCAGACCACTCTGGAGCAGAAACTAAAAAATGTGTAGGCAGAAAAAATACTGCTGAACCCGATACACGATCACACTTGTTCTGCTGGTCCCTCTGCATAAACAAACACCTCCTCGAGTCTTACTCGCAGGATTATGTGAACGCAGTCGGTGGTCTTGGCTTGGCTTGTGTTGGCTTGGCTTGGCCTGGCTTGGCTTGGCTCGAATTGGCCAGTGCCCGCATTTCTGCATTGCGCGCTCGCCGAGTTTCTGCGGCGTGCGCTCTTGTACAAACACAAAAGCGATAAAAATGCTTTTTTATGTTTTCTATTCGCCCTTCACGTAGCCCGATAGCTAATAAATTCCCCTTCCACAGCCCCACTCCTCTTCGCACCGGACCTCCTGTATTGAGCAGGAGGAATGGCTTTCTCCATACTCACGGGCCTCGTGACTGAACTCGATTCCGAATATAATGCGAGGTGCGTTTTGGAGCACGTAATTCCTGAAAAAAACTTGCGTTATATTTGTGCAAATACGTCCAAAATCTCCAATAGAAAAAAAAAATAAAAAATAAACAATACAAATGATGCATACTACTTGTCAGGATGTCACAGTATATCATTTGACTAACCTTAGATTTACTTATTAAAGTTTCACTGCAAGAAAGATAATGGCACCATACATATATTTTTCATTTATTATACTTATTTTTGTTAAATATCCAAAGCGTAGTTGTGCACCATTCCATCGCGGAGGAGTGTTTAACATGACGTTGAGCAGCAGCAAACCGACATATGCCAAATAGCATTATCTACTCCACAGCCCTGGCTTCTCTGCAGTGCACCAGTGTGCGGTGAGAAGGGCACTCAACAGAGCCTAATTAAACCACCCAAACACATTGCAAACAGTAAAACATAACACAAAGCTTCTTAGTACTAAGTGGTGTTCAACACGAAAATAAAATAAAATCACACCTCATTCTAAGCTGTAATAAGGTGGCGAACTGGGCCAGTTGGTTGACGTTATACATGATGGAGAAAACAGCTCAGAAAACACGGACTACGAAGAGGAACAAACACGACAGGACAAATGGGCTGTTTTCCCCATCATGTATAGCTCATTCTAAGCTATAATTGACAGATCTGAAAATGTGTGCAAGCTTATCTACTAAAGTAATGCCGAAACTAGAAACATGTTTAACTAAGGTAACAAGGGACAGGGATGGTTGAGGAAACCTGGAAGCTCGGGACCAATGAGAACACTTTTAGGAACTGCTAGGAACCCAATTTGAGAACCCGTGATCTGAAAAATGAAAGATGTTTACAATTTTCTGTAACACCGAATTAGAGCACAGCTCCTGAGGAGGAGGGGGGGAGGGGTAGGCCCCTCTTCCTTCCCCGCTAAAATTAGCAGAGAAATTTTTCTGCTACATTTCCCCTCGGACATCACATGTGACGTCACGAGGGTAAATTCAGTAGAAATATTTTTCCGTCAAATTTAGTGGAAAAATTTTCCCGCTAAATTTAGCGGGAATATTGGTAATGTTAGACAAAAGCAACGTCAGGTGACATCATAGTCACATGTTTTCTATAATGACGTCCCACGTGATGTCACGAGTGATGTCACAAAGCTACTGTCGTGAAGTTACACTCATGACCCTCACGAGGGTCACAAGGATCACGAGGGTTCGCTTTTTCCAGTTCATGTACTCAACCGTTTTGGACAACCCATTCTGGCTCACTTATTTTGTGGCTCTGCCAAGAGATGGCAGCAGACTTCTTTTGCATATTGCTCCTCATTTTTTTTTTTTTTTCTTTGTGGCTAGAGATAATATTTTGAAGGGAACAATCTTGATTTTAAAGACTGCAATTAGGCAGTTGAGGGTCAGAAATTTCCAAAAAACTAGAAATGGTTAAGGCGTTAAGGGGGGGAGGGCAAGAGGGACAGAAAGAGGAAGAGAGGGCATCACCTGAGGCAGCGGGTGGCCCTCTTGTTAGGGATGAAGCCGCCCTTGCGGAGGCGCCTGACGGCCTCGCGCAGGTGCCGGGGCTGCAGTGGTCCTGCCTCGCCCTGCCGCTCAAGCACGTCCAGCGCCTCCTCCACCACCTCGCCCACAAACACCTTCGCAATGCCCGACACCGCAATCACCACGTTCTGGGACACCGAGCAGCCTGTGATGGACTGCACCAGTCGCTTCACCGCCGCCTTGGGGAACGCCGACCGACGGTACATCTCATACCTGCAACCAACAGACCAAGGGATGGGTGACTAGGTACCCCACGGGCAGAAGCACACACCTCGCCACGACCACAAACACTATGGTGCCTGTCTTTGACTGGTCTGTCTGCCGTCTTATCTCACTAAGCATCCAAAGAGCTTCCGAAGAGGCAACAAATGATGTCGCAGAAGCCGGCGCGTCACTCTGCCGCAATCCTGTACAAATGCTGGCGAAAAAGGTGAGCGGACGCGAGGTTCACCATCGTCTCGGCGTCCCATCTCGCACCGCTTTGGTTTCTGTCGACCGTCTGGCTGCAGGGTGACCTGCGGTGGAACGGCGTCTGTCGCGCCTGCCTCGCCGTTGCGCCACCACCATGATACCAGTGGGCAACGGTGCAACAGTTTTACGACGTCGTGAGGTGGATATCGAGGGATCACTTTTGGGGACGCAGTAAACACACCGTTCAGAGACAGTCTCCAGGCACCGTGGTAACACCGTCGCCTTGGGGAACAGCAACCTACGGTACGTCTCAAACCTTTGTGCGTCGGGCCAGATGGGGGGTGATGAGGCACCCAGCCGGCGGAACCACATGCCTCGCCACGATCCGTGATGCGGGGCCCCAGGATACTCCAGCTAGTTCGAGAAACTCGTGGCCACGTTGGCAAATCCCTGCACCTCTGTTTTTTTGCTTCTGATTGAGTGTTTGCACACCTATTGACAGACGGCACCACAAGCGTGACAGGAAACAGAGAACATGACGGCAAATGGAATGTAGTCTAGCACTGCGTGTTCTACGGCAAGGTTTGATTGAACTCGCTTTAAATAAATATAAAAAATCAGTTCCACATGCTCCGACACTGTAATTTAGTATAAAGGTGCAACTGCATGGTACATTTGCATTTTTTTTTTTTTAATAGCAAAGAGAAAGCTTGCCTCAATCAAAAGCTACAACTAAGACGCAAAATTTTTATCATGGTTCAGTTTACAGTTAAGCCTTCTTTGTCCCAGGCAATGTAAAAAGAAACTTTGTGAATGTTTGGGATGCTTCATTTGACAGAAACAACAGAGTTTGAAGAAAATAATTCTGACTGCTTTTGTGCTTTTTTCTTAACAAAACCAAGCAGTGCAAACCTTACCAAGAAACACATATTTACATCTAGGCTGAGATACATACACTCTACAGGCTTCTCTCATTTCATCTCTCTCTCTGCCATTACTCTACTCTAATCACCCTTCCACATCAAGACTAGATGATACATATCAAGAACATAGCCGTATATAGAGGAAGTTTGGTCAATGGAAGGAGCGGGTAGAGACAGAAACAGGGCTTGACATGCTCTCTTGGCTAACCAGAAGCCGAACAAAATCCCCTCACGGTGGTGTACTTCGTTTCAGCTTCGGTCCAGACGCAGCCAAAGCTACAAGCGCGAGCTCCGGGCTTTCAGTATCCCTGCCAAGCATGCGCGCTCATGCAGTGAAATAACTGTTCTGGGCCACATGCTCGCGCTTGTAGCATCGGCTGCGTCTGGACCAAAGCTGAAACGAAGTATAGCGAGAAACAGCTTTAATAAGTGCGTAACAGTTAAATGTAGTAACTTTTTATGGTTAAAAATATGGTGCGTGTGATGTTTCGATTATGATCATGCAAAAAGATGGAAGAATTGAATGTGCGATTCAAACCCTGTTTTGCTCGGACAACAGGTTCCCGGTTCTCGACACCTGGCGTATGGATTACGTCGATCGTTCTGCTAGATTTTTATTTTGCACGACCGTGATTGAAAAAATCACGTGGACCATATTTTCAGTCACCAAGAGTTACTCCGCTGCACTTATTTTGTTTCTCACAACCACCACCAGTGTATTATGCACGGCTTCTGGCTGGCCACATTAAAATTTGTGAAGACACCCAGGAACACGCCTAGCCCGCTTTCGACCAATGGTGCCTCCTCATTTGCCTCCTATACTTCCCAATTACTCTCTCTATATAGGGCTCTGATCAAGAAGCCATGATGTGCCTACTAATAAAACATCTACTGACCTTACCATTTTGTTGAAACACCTGAGCTTGAGTGTGAAAAAACTTGAAACAATCAAAATTAAAAGAAACAGGGAAAGAAGTCAGCCAGACAACGTCTCAAACTCAGCTAATACAAAAAAATGTGCCGCTTGTATGTTTAGACAGTCCTGATGCCAATATGCCTCAACAGGTGACTTGTCTCTTACCTGTAGATGAGAAATTTAGCCAGTGCAGTACAACCTCTAACCTGGGGTCTTTAACATGCACCAGGCAGTAATGATTACACAAACGCATGAAGGTACTAAACTCATCCAGATTGAAACAGGCAGGGGGTGGGGATCGAACCTAAGAGGTTCGCTCCGTTCTCCGAGCTGAGACGCGTTAGCCCACTCGGCCACCGATCCCCCTCTCAGCTAATACGCTTTTCGGTAAACCTCTTATACATGCTTCAAAACCAAAATTGTCACCAACTAACACAAAAAAAAAAATAATCAGTTTTTTTTCGAATTTTGCACTTATTAATGTACTATCGGGGAAAAATGAAATGCGAACAGAGAAGCGCGTGGCTCGCGGTACAGGTTGCGCCGCCTGGAAGTGAACCTAGGGGCGAGGGTGCGTGGCCTACTTCGATGTGTTCACGCCCCTCGATTGGCGCTCCCCCAGCTTCGGTAGTGCGCCTCTCAGCGCGCTGAAAGCTGTCACCGCTATCTTTGCCTGCTCGGCGAGTGCGGCGAGCTTCTTTGCACCGCGCGCGCTGAGCCAGCAAAGATAGCGGTGATAGCTTTCAGCGCACGAAGAGGCGCACTGCTGAAGCTAGGAGAGCGCAGAGGGAGGGGCGTGAACACGTCGGAGTAGGCCACGCACCCTCGCTCCTAGGCTCACTTCCAGGCGGCGCAGCCTGTACCGCGAGCCACGCGCTCCTCTGTTCGCATTTCATTTTTCCCCGATAGTACACACTTAGGACACGCCATGACCTTGCGGTCACTCTACCTTCGAAGAGAGCTTACACTTCTGAGAACCACCAACCACCCCAGAGCGACCTTCCTAGCCAAGCCTATTGAATGTTACCCTCCACCCTATTTGTCACTTTCACACTGAAACCTAATTTTCCACAAAATTGTTGCACTGCTACATTAGACAAAAAAACAAAACATGCACATACACACAAGGCAAGAACCAAAAGAATTATAAACGCAGGAGCACCTTGGTACTGTCAGCAAGGTACATGGATGTCTAACTTATACAGTTGCCTATTGACTTATTGTTTTGTTTCTCTTACAACTCGTTTGACATCAATGACCTCCTTGCGCACCACTTTTGTCTTCGACCACTGTGCCATGCAGTCACTACATTCTTGTATATCTGTTGCCATTTAAGAATTGGCCGCTTTGACTTTACTGTTTTTCCTGTGCTCAGTTAGTCTATCATTCAAACACCTGGAAGTTTGCCCCACATAATTAAACCCTTGCAGACAACCCCAAGGCGTTCCGGCGTTTCAAAGTTTTTTTTGGTTCTCGCCTTGCGTATATGTGCATGTTTTTTTTTTTGTTTTTCTGTCTAGTGTAGCAGAGCAAGAATTTTGTGGAAAGCTAAGTTTCAGTGTAAAGGTAAAAAATAGTGTGGAGGGTAACAGGCTTTTGTTCTCTTTGAGATTTTCTTGTCAGTTCGGTGGGCTTGGCCAGCAAAGTCGTTCCGGGCTGGTTCAAGGTTCTCAGAAGTGTGAGTTCAGTTTGAAGGTTGAGTGACCGTGCAAGGTCATGGCGTGTCATAAGTGTGTACATAAGTGTGTAAGTGTAACTGCAAAGCTTGTAAAAAAAATTTTTTTTTGTCTTTTTGTTGGGGACGATTTTAGTTTTAAAGGGATGGTGAACCGAAATTTGGATTAAGAAAAAAACACTGCAGGAGATGTAGGCGGGACGCAACAATCCCTACAACACTATTAGTAAGGCGATATCTCAAATGGACGGCCGTATTTTTTAAAAAAGAGGTCGAGATTGAACCAGGCCGACGAGGCGAGTGACGTCGAAATACCTTGTTTCCTCCTCTCTTCGCTTCGCTCCCCCAAGGCGGCGAGGCGGAGAAGACATGAGGCCATTCCCTCTCCTTCTCAGAAAAACATGACGTCAACATTTCTGCAAAATGCGCCTCCTTTTTTGAAAAATACGGTCATCCGTTCAAGATATCACTGTGTGAGTGATGTTTTGGAGTTTGTAGCATCCCGTTGCACGCTTTTGCCGCTTGTTTTGGGGAATCCAGAATTCGGTTCAGCATCCCTTTAAAGCATATATAAGAGGTTTACTGAATAAACATATCAGCTGAGTTTGAGATGTCGTTTGACTGACTTCTTTCCCTGTCTCTTCTACTTTCGGCTGTTGCAAGTTTGTTCACACCCAGTCTCAGGTTTTTTAACAAAATGGTAAACTTCCACCAGTTCGCCTGGTGGAAGTTTGCCATTTTCGTTGATCTACTGACTGACCCACTCGGTTGTCTTATTTGGCGTGCACCGTGAAAAATGTCAAGGGCATTCTAATTTTTCATAGGAATGAAGCTGTGCCTTGAAAGCTGAGGTGGAATCCACCACTAAATTACACCTTTTGGCTTGTAACTTGCAGGCACTAATCTTTCCGGATCATGTTAGAGCGAGTTTCTTATTCAATAAAGTCCCACCAGAAAGCCTGCTATGATAGCAACTGGCTGTACCATCCCCGGGACGCTGGTCACCCTGGGGAGGATGCCATCTTGCCCCTCATTTGAAGCACACTCAACAGAGGAACAGCAATCACTAGTGCATTGTCAAGAGGACATAGTTTTGTAAATAGAATTAAGGGTCACAGTTTCACTTGGTCAAGTACTGTACTGGGTTGAAGGTTACCAAGGACAGAAAAGACACACTATTGGGAGTGTGCACCACCACTAGATTATTCCTGCCCGGGTTTTCCTGACAGGGTTACTTCTAGATAAATTTACTTTCGTTAGATGGTGCTATGTAACAGCACCCACTAATGTATGGCTGACTTAGCTACCACGGTAATGATGAAACTATGCAAAGATACTAGACTCATGACAATAGAAGCAGCAATGGCAAAGTTACCAGCCGTCCTGGATTTCGCAGGACTGTCCCTACTTTTCATAAAGTGTCCCGATTCTCACATCCTCCCTGTCGGGACAGCTATATGTCCCGGATTAGGTTCTGACCGTCCAGTTAGCAATTTTATATGTGATCCAACGCACGCCCAACAAAACGCATTATGCTGCAAAACACAAAGTTAGCAAGAATCGCAAGAAAGCAATGCTGCGGTGGCTAGCGTTGGCTGCAAGAAACTTTAGCCATTTTAGTACACAAGTCATGGCAAGCCGGAAATAGGAGCGACACTGGTGTCACTGGAGCTGCACAGGGCAGCGCCTTTTGTCGTCGTCATTGTTTCTATAACCCCCTTTGTGTCTCCCTTCTCCTCCCTCAAGCTGCACGCCTCCCTTGTGCTGCACCCCCTCACCCCTCGTCCCGACCTCCTTCATTGAAGAGTTGGGGACCCTAATGGTAAAGTCCATTTTAGTCTCGAATATCATGCTATCTTCCACAAACTGCCCGCACTGGGAGGGCCCTCATCACCACATTGCCAGTAGACAGGCATCAGACGACACCTCTGATCACGCCAATGCATTTTTTGCAGATCCTAACATGGTAAAAGCGGTGAAACGTGTGGCACTCCTCCAACCTCTACAGCCACCATCAGAGCTACCAAATAAGTCGCGCTTGAAGTATCGACATTTCATTCCTCGGATGTTTTGGTGCACGCCACCATTTCCTTGCATCGTGCAGAGCGGCCACAATTGACGATGGTTACGATTCAATTGGTTGAGTGGCGGTCAACCCCTCACCAACCTGCAGGTATGGCCCTACAACCTTCTGCGGTGACCCAACTCTACAGAGTAAAATAAAGAACACGAATGCAAGGTCCCCGACCTGTTGAGCTGCGCTTCCGAGAAGTTGGAGACGAGGACCTGCATCTTCTCGCGCTCTTCTTCCTCCAGCTGCTCCCGCGTCTTGGCGACCGCCGGCTGGCTGTCGGAGCCGGCAGCCTCGCGTGCTGTGAAGCTGGTGCCGGGCGTCTGGGTCACAGACTCCTCCAGCATCTGCAGGCTGATCTCGTTGTCCGGGGAGTCCGGGGCCTTTACCTCGTCCTGGGACGTGTTGTCCTGGTCGTCCGCAGGGGCCGCCCCCTCCTCTTTTCCGCCCTCCATGCCACCTGACGCGGGGAGCAGACTCCTTCTAAGGCTTACATAAAGTTGCGCTTTTTAAGAAGGAAATCGGGGCCACGTGACAGGTTGATGAAACTCCCAGCATATAGAAGTTTAATTCGGCCAAGTTCTAGGGCATGTGTCAATCATGCAGTATTGATAAAGATATTAAAAAAATGTTTAGGGGATCCAACAACCAAGTGTATGATTTACGTTTTTTCAGATTTTAGATGATTCTTTTTGCTAATCAACACAATACGTAAATGTGCTCTCGAACTGCCCGAGGCTAGATGGAAGGCTGCAAGGTTAAATTTCTTCTATAAAATCTGCGATAATAAATCTGGCTTAGACAAAGACCTGTTTGTTTTGACACCTCCCTAGCGCTCAGCAGGACTGAACCACTCAAACAATGTCAGACCGCATGCGCCTCAAAATGACACCTTTAAATACTTTTTTTTTACGCAAACGATCGAGGAATGCAACTTACTGTCCTCTGACTGTGTGCATGCTTCAAGCATTGACTGTTTCAGCATGTTTATACAGCATAAAAAGGTTGTGCAGTTCAAAGGTAAGACTAAAAGTGTTAGGTCTTTAGCTGAATCTATTATGCAAGTACTTTATATGAGCATTCTTCTCAATATAAGACGAAATCAATAGACTGCATTTTAAAACGCTTGGTGAAAAACATTGCATACAGAATATCATACAGTACATTAGAGGTGGAAAATAAAGCAAAGAAGCTCCATATTTTATTTTTAAAAAATGTTCAGATATGTTTTGTTTATAAATTATTACTAAGATTTTATGTTCAAGATTCCACTTGACAAGCATAGAGACTTAAAGAACCCCTGAAAAGCAAACAAATTTTTTTTTTTAAACAGTATGGTCGGGACACACATGTCAAAAAATAAATTTTATGCGAAAAAAAAAAAAAAAAAAACATTTTTTTAGAGAGGTTTTTTTTTTTTTTTTTTTTGCCTAGCATTTATTTTTTGACACGCGAATCCCAATCAGACTGTTTAAAAAAAAAACTATTTTCTTTTCAGGGCCCTTTAAGGCATACAGGGAGGTTCAAAATCCCCAGAATTTGCACACAGTATGGAAAAAGATGTAGAAATTACTATATTCCAGCCTTAGTTAATGAGCTTGCTAAGCTCTTAATAAGAGTAAATTCAATAAAAGTACAAAAAGAGAGCAAAAAATTGGTGCCACTATCTACTTTTTTAACACTGCTACATTTTGATCGCAAATGTTACTGTCTTGCATTTGTTGGATTTCCTTTTTGTGCTTGCTGCATATTTGCCTCATAATGACTTCTATTTGTTGTGTTCATTGATTGTCGTTCTACTTCTGTTTTGCCAAATATGAACACTGTCTTGTATTGCTGTTGGTTTTTTGACAGCCACATTATATTCGTTGTATTTTTTATTGCTATAATTATATGTATTTTGCTGGGTTGTGTGGCCCTATGCACAAGCAGGCTGCTGCTTTTGTAGACCAGCATTATTTCTATGTTTCTGTAAAGTGAACAAGATCATAATTATTCTTATAAAATGTTTGAAACTTGATGTAATCCTCTCCAGGTTGGGTGATGAAAAACAATCTGCAGTATTTCTTAACTAAAAATAAAAAAATAAACAGCCTTCGACAGTTGTTATTGTAGATGTACGGCAGCGAACACGTGTGAAAGTTCCCACCTAAACACGAAACGACGCACACTCTGGGAAGTGCTGCTTTTAATATGCCTTTGGGGAACTATAAATGTTATATTTGCACCATGTTTTGCATTGCTGGGGTAATTTATAGTTCCGAAATTAAACGCTCCATGCATATGAAATGCATAAGGTTACTTCGCGTGTCTAGCGATCTGACAATATTGCCACTACTGCCACTACTGCCAGCTCTTCTGATTCAGACTTTTCACATATCTCAGAATTGAATTCAGAGGATGACAGCTTATCAGCCATTGGAGAAGCTCCGTAAAGTACCACCAGTTTGGCATCTGAGCTGGCCAGAATGTCTTGCAGTCCCGCACTGCTGCAAGAGCATGTGGCTTCGTCTTGCGTCTGGTTCTCACGCACTCGCACAAGTATATCCGACAGCAATACCGCAGAAGCTATGCTTGCCCTGACTATGCAGCACATAATAAGATATGCTTAATGATTTCCAGTGTTCGAGAAATCAAATATCTGCACTATCTGTGAGAAATATTTGCTTATAACACTGCCAAAATTATGTCAAGCACATGGCGAAACCATGCGTAAAGTGGTCTTAGATTGGAAGAGCTGACAACTGCCCGTTTTGTGGCATCAGAAAAGCGAAAAAAAAAAAAAGGGAAAAACGGGTTTCTTTGCTGCTTTTTCTTCCAAATTTCTCAGGGTTACTTGATCCCAGGTATTGCCATATCAAGGGCAAACGAGGCTCAATCCTCCTCTCCTACACTGCGTTGTAGAGTCCCCTCCCCGACATGAAAACCTGGCAATGCAACTATTGGCAACATGCACAACAATAAGCGTCGCCGGGGTCAGTTTTTTACGACTGGCCAAAGACTCACCGTGACACCTAGAGTAAGGTGAATTCTGCTGTTCTCGACAGAAACAACAGTAATGTCAAACTTCCAACTTTAATGCTGCTGGCTTAAGAATGCGATGATTGCAAGCCCATATTTTTGACACGTTATAAAACTAGCAGTTAGCAACTGTAGTTCTGATGGCGACGTCACGGACGGGCATTATATTAAAGGGGCCCTGCAACAACTTTTCGACTGATTTTTAATTTGCACCGATCCTGAGCGCACTGAACGTAGAAACTTAATGAAACTTTTCTTTTCTCAAATTTCGCTTTAGTTTAAAAGTTATAGGCAAATTAGAATTACAAAAACAAGCAAAAAATAACCTCCTCCATGACGTAGTAGGTCCCGGCTTGAGCGGCCGTGAACTAGAGGGGGATAGTGAGCTCATCGAGCGTTCACGGCTGCCGCACTCCGAGTCGACGGCTCGAGAGGGCGCCACTAAAGCACGTGTTGGATAGGCTGTATGAAGCGGGCGGTCAGGGCGGCTCGGATTGCATTTGCTGCACGATTAAAGACTAATTCGGCATAACACTTCATTGGCCACAAACGACAGCAAACGCGGGGTAAATATCAGTTCAGAACGGGAGCCACTTCGCGCTGCCATACCGCCAAATGGCAAAATCGCCAGCAAAGCCGGCACCGAAAGCCTTCGGAACGCTCGGAACCGGTCGGATCCTCGACCGCAGCGCCGCCGCGTACATCCGGGACCTTTCTACGCACGCCGTTCGTTGGCGCCTCGTCGCACTAGCCCTTTCTAGTATGCGCCGTTTTTTCCGCCGCTTGGTGGTGGGTATGTCGACGGGTCATTTCTTGTTTCCGTACTTTATAAACTGCATTTGTTTCTTTTCTGATCTCATATACGGAACAATAACTACTTTCATACATAACTGAAACGGTTCGCGACACTTATATTTTGTATCTCGACTAAAAAAAAAGATTTTAGCGGTTCTGACCAGTAAGCCCAGGACCAAAGACGTCAGATATCACGCGCTTTCGCCAACGCGGGTCGCCCTCGTCGGTGGAGGAGGTTTCCGCATCGTCCGGTTAAAATATGACGCACTGATATTTAGTTACTCTCTCCGTGCCCGCTGGCTTGCCCGAACCCCAAGGGACCTGGAAACCACAAAAAAGGTAGACGCCTAAATATGATTGCAGGGCCCCTTTAAGAGAGCGCCACCGAAGCATCTCATTGCGGAGAGCAAGTCGTCTGCTTCTAGGACAGGAGTTGCGGTGACGTCAGAACGACGCCTAGCTGTTATTGGCCGACTGAAAAAAATAGTGGATAGATCTCAAGGCTAGACGCTTCAAGGTCTACCCACCATTTTTTTTTTTTTTTTGCAATCAGCCAATAAGAGCTCGGCGTCGTACTGATGTCACCGCAACTTCTGCGCAAAAAGCAGACGACTTGCTCTCCGCAAAGTCACTGACACAACGAGAACGGCAAGCAGGTCCTTCGGTTGTCGCGCCGACAGAGCGAGCTCCCTTTCCGCTTCGACAACGCTTCAGCGTCTCGCGAGCACGCGCACGCGTTTTGGCCGCGCGTGCCTTCCGCCGTGCTTTGGCCACGCGTGCACGTGCGGCCAAAGCACGGCGGAAGGCAGCGCGTGCTTGCGGGTGGCCAGGCATCGGAAAGACGTGCCCTGCCGTTCTCATTCTTTCGAGACTACGTGTGCTCCAACAGAACAATTTTGTAAATTTAGAAAACTACGTCAATGCGATTTAACCAGCGAGAAGGGTTTCTACTCGCGGAAGTAATAATATTTAGCGGTCAGACTTCATCGGTACATTCATGTTCATAAACGTGTTGGCTTGTTGCCGGTCTTAGGCAAGCGTAGCTTCTGAAAACGCTCCCATCTGCATCCGTCAGTCGCGACTTCATCCGCAGATTCCATTATCAAGCCAACTCGACAGGATTCGGCACTGATTTCCCGGCATTTCGTGGACGATCTCCACTAAAGACAAGCTTCCTCTGTGGATGGAGTCAGCTGGGTACGACTGCAATCAAAATCCAACACATACCTCGAATGTCCGAATGTCCGGATGCTTCGGTCAGAAATACCAATAAAGTAGACTACGACGGTGTGTAAGCGAAGAAAGAAATGCGTGCAAGCAAACTGTTAGCGGAGGACACAATACGAGGAAACAATGCACCATGCTCCATTTGAATCTTTCACACTATCAGGCTCTGCCTTGTCTAGCATTGCGAATTGTAAAATTTGATATCGCGACGCCATTTATCATTATGTATATGAATGAATAGAGAGATAATGGTGAACAATGTTGAATTTCTTTTAGCGAGCGGCCATTTTGCGTTACCCAGTCAGTGTCTTTTTTGTTAATATTTATTTCAACTGATAAATTACATTTAAAAAAATTAAGGTTAAAATTTAATTAAATCAACTTTAAAACGAGGTTAGATTAAAACCACGGTGATAAAACCAAGGTTAACACAACCAGACCTTGCGAAAAGGGGTGGCACGAAAGAGGGTGAGAGAGCGCTAGGTGACGCAAGCCGCCACCCAATTTAGATGGTTTATGGGTTTTATGCACTGATCTCTATGACAATTGCTGGATCGCGTTTGCCCGCTCCGCGAATGCGGTCACTGGCGGCCATCTTTAGGTAGAGTTATATCACCTCTAGCCAATGTAAGCTGCTGCAGCCGCTATCATCCATCCATGGCAGATAGCGTTTTGGCAGGTGGGTTGGCAGGCTGCGGTCAAAATAGCGTGGGTGATATTGCGTGCTTGATTAAAATTATTTGACGAAACATGTTTTTGAAACCCGGCGTGAACAGTAGTCCGGCTTTTGAGGACCTGGTAAAAGTTTCACGAAATCGCAGCACCGGGAGAAAAGCAGCACAGCACGTATCGAAAGTCGCATCCAAAGAAGCATCGAAAGCAGACGAAGGTACGGAGTCTGCTTTTGATGCGAGCTGCGCTGCTTTCCCCCGGTGCTGCGCTTTCGTAGAACTTTTGCCGGGTCCTCACAAATGAGGCTACCGTTCACGCCGGGTTTCAATAATCTGCTTCGTCGAACAACTTTAATCAAGCACGAAATGTCACCCACGGTACAGTGTACTAGATCTACCGCTATTTTTATGGCAGCCTGCCGCCATTGCGCTGTCCGCCATATTACTATGATGGCTAGAGATGATATAACTCTACCTAAAGATGGCCGCCAGTGACCGCATTCCGGTCTATAGGAGGAGCTGGTCAAACGCGATCCAGCAAATAGACATAGAGATCAGTGGTTTTATGCATTAATGATCTAGTAGTCACATTATTAAATATGGCTGCCTCCATGCTTTCTTGCTGCATCTGCTAATCCTGCTTTCCTTTCTGTGGAAAAAAAAGAAGGGATATTTGTTGAGTGTTGGAAGTTTCCGGGTCCTATTCAGCACCAAGTGAGCCGTAAGCGCCGCTCAGTCGGCTCAGTCATCACCCTCAGATATGGCGAGCAGCTCGAAGCGTATCGTTTACGTTGGCGGGCTCGCCGAAGAGGTGGACGAGAAGGTCCTCCACGCCGCCTTTATTCCTTTCGGCGACGTGGTTGACGTGCAGATTCCGCTCGACTACGAGACGGAGAAGCACCGTGGCTTCGCCTTCGTCGAGTTCGAGCAGGCCGAAGACGCCGTCGCCGCCATCGACAACATGAACGACTCCGAGCTGTTCGGCCGAACCATCCGCGTAAACGTCGCCAAGCCGATGAAGATCAAGGAAGGCTCGACGCGCGCCGTCTGGTCCGAGGACAGTTGGCTCCGGCAGCACGCCGGCGAAACTCTCAACGAGGACGAAGAAGGCGCCGCCACTGCGGAGACTGAGGACAAGGCGAAGGCGAACCCCCAGGTCTACTTCGACGTGAGCGTGGACGGACAGGAGATCGGGCGAGTCCGCATTCTGCTCTACAAGGACGTGGTACCGCTGACAGCCGAGAACTTCCGCTGTCTGTGCACACACGAAAAGGGTTTTGGCTTCAAGAAGAGCACCTTTCACCGCATCATTCCGGGCTTCATGTGCCAGGGCGGCGACATCACCAACCACAACGGCACCGGCGGCAGATCCATCTACGGCAAGAAGTTCGACGACGAGAACTTCGAGCTGAAGCACACCGGTCCCGGCATGCTGTCTATGGCCAACTCGGGACCAAATACCAACAGTTCCCAGTTCTTCCTGACCACGGCCAAGACGGATTGGTTGGACGGCAAGCACGTGGTGTTTGGGCAGGTCATCAGCGGCATGGAAGTGGTAAAAAAAATAGAGGCGTACGGCTCTTCTTCGGGCAAGGTGTCCAAGAAGGTGGAGATCTCGAACAGTGGCGAGCTAACGTGATGACTTTGCCAGTGCAAACTTCTCGATCCGTTACATCAAAGACAAATCAGGATGGATTAGACGAGAGTGGTGTTATAAAATCATTTAGGTGGTTACATAAACGCGCCTCAATTAACTATAGTCACTGACAAAATCTGAGTGGTAAGGAGATTTTTTAGTTGTCCTGCCTTTAGCGTCAGCTTCCTAGCATCAACACTCTGTCATCTTGGAACTTGGAGCGTGCGTAGTCAAAGCATGGGAGAAGGCAATGAGCACGTGCTGGAGCATAGCCTTCTATACATGCCTTACGCCTGACGTCACGCCGCGATGCTCGCCGCCGATCGCCATTGCTCCATACCACCGGAGGACCGGAGAACCTACAAAGCGTAGTCGACGGCGTGTTTCGCCCGACTGTGACGCGCTTACGCAGTTTGAGAGCGTAGCGGTTTTCTTTGTGTGTGTTTGTTGTTCTTTCACACAATTTGTAATCAAATCGTTTTAATCTATTTTTAGCAGCGCCTACGGGCTAAATATGCCGTCACCAGAGGAGCAAACGTTGTCGCTCTGCGAAGGTTACTTCGACGAGCTCGTTGGGCCTACGAGAGCGAGATACGCGAGGAAAGTGGAACTTTGCGATTGCGAGGATCCCTACAAACTTAGTGTCGGCGTGGACACAACATTCGACGCTGCCTTTTTCCCTAACGTTACTCGTTCAGCCTCGAGCGCTGCGACTCGAGGCTGAGCGATCTCCTTTTTCCGTGTAACCGAGCTTCAAACTCGACGCCCAGTCAGAGTTCGTGTCATCTAACAACTTGGAAGGAGCTCCTGTAAAACAAAGAAAAAAATGCCATTCGCTGACGCGCTCACGTTCGCGAAACTCAGCGCAGCAGACGATGCTGTGCCGAGTTTTACATTCAATTTTGCGACGGCAACCGGGTGAACGCGTTCTGAAAACAGAGAACTACATAAAGCATTTCTTACCTGTAACAAAGTGCTCGCTGCACACGTGTGTTCACGTTCGCGACCAGGTCGGCCCTGTTAATTTTCGCAAACCACATGCTCCTTCGCATCTTTGACAGTTTGTGTGTCCGCCGACACTGAGCGGAGATCACCTTCGGTAGTTTGAAAAATGTCGCATCACTGACGGTGTTACGATCACGACGCTTGTTGCTCTTAGTCCTGTTTGCACAATTAATAACCGCACATGCAACCATTCTATGTAGCAAAACCTTCGCTCAGCGAGGCAAACTAACGGCAACTCCAGGGAACTTCCTATGCAGCGATGACGATTTGGTATGGCATAATGGCGACAGCCCTCCCAGCATGCAATTTTAATGATGTAGGTGCAAGGCATGTATATACTGACAAAGCTTGGCAGATCGCCACGAGAAGCGGCCGCCAAAATGGAAAAGGTGGAGTAGCAGACAACGGATGAGAGCAGAGCCACGTGACTTGCGCCCCACTGCGGCGAGACGCCAAAACACAATTCTCCTGAGCGAACGAGTGTGTTTCGGGTCCTCGCCGCTGCAAAAGCTGTGCGCTGACGTCCAGGTTCCCCAAGAAATGGCTCTTTGGTGCTCTCTGCTACCAGATCCTCGTGCTGCAATTCTGCGACCGGGCACTCTATGGCTCCATCGTCGAACTGCCAGGCTTTGTGAGTATAGAGGAGGCAATGGCTGGAGGTCCAGGCATTCAAAAGACGCGCCATTCTAACCCTGCCACTGACTTTAGGTGGTTACGCGAGTGTTAAGAGCATAGCCCAAAACTTTCCAGATAAGTAATCGGATCAATAATTTCAATCACCAAAATGTAGCCATTAGAAATCATCTCAAGTGATACATAAATAACAATGTTAAATCTACAAGCACCCTTGTATATATATTTTAACATATCTGGCATATTCATAAGAAGATCCACTCCATCACTTGTTCATAACAGTGCTAATAAGGTTTATTAAAAAGTGGTAATTCCATTCAAATTGTTGCAGCATCCATAGTGGTCTTAAGGTCATGTCACGGACATCTTAGTTCTAAGGTCTGTGTGGCCATTTTACAGGTGTGTCTCGTAAATAGGGACAGCACATTATATGGACAAAATTTTGGGGGGCCGACCCGACCCGATACAGCTTGGCCTCATTATTATAATAGATACCCGTGGTCTGGGCTATAGACAGCTAATAGACCTTTTCTGAAATTCAGTGCCATCTGGTTACTGAAACAGCGGTTTAACTTTTTAAGTACTAAAGGCGGTTATGAACGTGTAGTATGCAGTATTTCATCGGGCGCCGCCCCTACCGCAAGTCAACGGCAAACGAGAATGTGCTCTTTACTGTGCATCTCCTTCTCAATCATCTCTTTCAGTGTCGATGACCACAGAGATGCAATCAGTCAGAACGAAGCGCCAACCCAGATAGACGCCTTAATAAAGTTCTACATATCAAGGGGCTTTGAAGTCGAGTGTGTGCTACCAACCAATTGACTAGGCCCGAGTTAGAAATGAATGTTTATGCAGCTCTTCCATTAAATTCCTACTTCGCATCTTGCTCACGTGTTAAGTGCATAGGCCTCGAATCCTCAGCTTAGGAGTATCTTCAACTTGTTCCTTCATCGATGAAGAAGAGGCCGCCATTAGTACGGCACATATGCCAATTTTCAGATGATGATACTGATAGTGGTCTAAGTGGCCAAACTGAATTTCAGAAAGGGTCTCTTCAGAAACAAACTGAGAATATAAAGAAATATATGTTACTGAAGTTTTTGGGTTACAGAGGACATCCAAGGCTTTATTATGGTCTGTTTTTGGTTGCCCTTCCCAAGATAAGACCTTGGCACTGAACATTGGTTTAATTATTTGGGACTGTGGCCAAATGGATCACTTGCAGAAATGTAAAAAACACATACGAGCTTGTGAATGACATTCATAGTAACCCCGACACATAGGAATAATAAAAAAACGGACAGAAGAATGAAGTATCTATAGTAGAGACTTCATTGTTCTGTCCATCTTTTTTAATATTCCTACGTCTTGGGGTTACTAGGGACGTAGGTCACTTGCAATTCTCTTCATACACTATGTGTGTTATGGCCAAGGAGGACAGATGTGAAGGACAGTTGTAGGTCATGTGTATTCCTTGTGCATAATAATAAGGACTCTTCCCTCTCCACATAGAAGGAGGCCTGTGTGCAGGACAAGCTCCTCTCGCAGAGTTTTCCACCTTAGCAGAGGTGGAAATGAGTTCACCCACCCCCTCGCCAGCGTTCGTCGTCCTAAAGTGGAGGGTTTTGCAGGAGGTGCTTGTTCTTCTTTTCTTGACTGCAACAAAGTGCAAGTGAGGCGTGAAGAGGAAGCGACTAAAGACAGTAGCATGAAGGCTTTTGTGGTCACGTTTGTTTATTATTTGTGGTCTTGACCTTGACTTGTTATTATGAGATGACTTCTGGAGAGCAGAGCTGTCCATAGTAACGAGACATGATCTTTCCTATGGCCAGCCCTAGATTATGGGGGTACAAAGGTGGCTGCAGCACTGTCCATTGGGACAGGGTCCCCTATGCTAAGGAATCTGACTGGCCCCTTGTGGTTTCTGGCAGCTCAAAGAAAGGTCTCCAGCCTTGTGGCATCATTTATTTTTTTTCTTCCAATAGGAAGATCGAGATGTTGTGAAGCTCCTCATCTTTAAGCAAGCAGACTGTTTTTATTACTGGTACCATTGAATCTTATTGCAGTGATGATGCCATTGCTGCACCGTTTGTGCCAAACTGCACCATAATACATCAAAACCCCCCCCCCCCCCAAAAAAAAAAAAAAAAAAATAATAAGTGTTTTTTTTTAATTGCAGAAATAAACTACTATGCATCACTGAATGCTCATTCTCCAACAAAATGTAGCTCTAGAGGTCTAAACCAGATGCCAAAACTTTAGAACATACCATTATCTCAATCAAGAATTACAAGTGATTTTCTGAAAATTTCGATGGGAATTAATGGAGTCAAGTTACGACCGTTTTCGGTAACTGGTGCATTCGAGAGCTCCGTTGGCCGCCATTTTCCTATTAAAAATTTCAAGAAATTGCAGAACTTTTAAATAAAGTAACGGTTACAGCTGAAATTTCGGCGTCTGGTTTGGACCGCAAGCGCTATATTTGAGCGGAAAATGAGCATCCAGCAATGCACAACTTATTTTCACTGCAAAAACAAACGAAAAAACTTTTCTTTTGATTTGGGGGGGGGGGGGGGGGGGACATTTCGTAGTTACTCGGGTTGCACTCAGTTGGTCAAACAATGTTGCATAACTTATTTTCGCTTTAAAAAGAAACAAAACTATTCTCTTTTTTTTTTTTCGAAAAAGGGGGGGGGGGTCGTTTGGCGCACTTATTGATAGATGATGCTATCTTCTTATCGTGACCAGAGCCATAGATCGACCGTGGTCTATTAAAATGTACATAATCATTTTGTAATGTAAATTTGGTTTAAAAAATGAAAGCCGTTTACAACTCCCTGTAACGCCGGATTAGAGCGCAGCTCTTGAGGAGGAGGAGGGGAAGGGTACTGAGGGGATGGTATACCCCTCCTCCCTTCTCCTTCTCATCCTGTCTGCTACTTCTCCCTCCGAGCGGCGTCGCCGTTGTCTCACGAGGGTCACGTGACCCCTTGAGGTCACGTGACGATGACGTCATCAGTGATGATGACGCTGCGGATGCCGATGACGTCATCAGGGACGATGCCGATGACGTCACTGATTACGTCATCAGTGACGTCACGCGTCCCATAATGCACCGCGCGCTAATACTTCACAGCGCACAACAGACAACGCACCATCAAAACATATCCACACAAAGAAACAACACTCAGGCAGCGCTGACTGTCAAGTCTCGGATATATTAAACATCTTCGTTATCTTTTATTCTTATGCACTAAAAAGAAGAAAATAAAAGTTAACCAAAGAAGAACAGCAAAAGAAAAGGAAAGGAGAGAAGACAAGGAAGAAAAAGGAGTCAAGAAAAATAAAATACAAAATAAAAAGAAAGAAATGACAGAGATTAAGATCAAGTCCTATTACAGTAAAAGTTACTAAGGAGGTTTTCCTAAATAACTTAACTCTTTTTTGGATAAGCTAATCTTCGACGGGGTACTAACACATGATCCATCTAGCAGGTATATGCTAGCGGCTTCGATAATTTCTCTAGTTAGTTTGTTCTTGCTTTGTCCCAGTACTGTGCTTTAGAAGGGGGGGAGCATCCAGAATCTCTGCAATGAATGCCCAGATGACCTGAGTTAGCGTTAATGGCGTTGTTGTTATATTCTCGAAGCCTATCGTTAAGACAGCGCCCCGTCTGCCCAACGTAACGCTTCCCACAGGTAAGAGGGAAAGAATATATCACTCCTTCTGCACAGGAAACGAACTTGGTCTTGTGATTTTTGTTGCAGCACTCTGGTCGAATAGATGGACCATTCACCCGCTTGCATAGGCTGGAAAGTTTTTGCGGAGCATAGAAAACAATGTCGACGTCGACTCTACCTTGTTAAGCTTGTGCGACAGGTTGTGAATATAGGGCACTATGACAGGCCTTATAGTGCGTTCTCTTGTTCTGTGGTTTTGTGGTCTTTCTTTCTGGCATTCCACAACAGAATCTTACAGAAAAACCTTGACAGTTCAAAAATAGTGCATGTGTTTCTGTACGTGGATGACTACTTGGGTTTTCTTGACAGTAACAGTATCACCTTCCCCACCCTTGGTGGCCGATGTTCTTTCTACCTTCCAGAAATACCTTGATCCGTTAGAACTTACCCACGAACTTCCGGTCGAGTATTCAATACGGCGAATAGCGCGGGTTTCTTGGTGTGCATTATAATCAGATTCGATGACTGCGCCATCTACAGGCGTCCTGGATCTCTAGATTGAATCGATAATGACCTCCGAAATTTTTGGCGCGCAGGGCTTTCTTTAGGTTGTTCCATTCACCGGGAGAGGCTGAAAAAATATGAGGCTACGCGAGTTGCGCCGCCGTTGGGTGGAAATAACCGCGAGCTAATTTTTTTCCTTTATGGGTCTGCTCACATGCTTGGGCAGTGTGGGCCTGCTGGCACGCAGTGAATAAAATGTTTGCTGGGTGGACAGTGAAAATGCACTTTTTGCGGGAATTGTGCTTGTTGCTGATATTTAAAACGAGCAAGTCGAAATATAAAAACGAGGTTAAATAAAGTTTTCTGATAACGACGCAAGAAGCTTTATGTGTGTCCTGCTGACGCCAAACCCGGTGTTTCTTACCGTGCCCAAGCAGTACCTGAGGAAAGCAAATTTACTGATTTGCATAATTTTGCAGGCTGAAATCTCGCTACTAAAACAACGCAAACAAAAATAATAATAAAGGAAGCAACGGTAAAAATAACGTATCACCAGAGCTGCACCTACCTTGCTGCAGATAAAGCCCCTTTATTCTGGGAAAAGTGGCGCCATTAATTATAAAAAAGCTCGAGGCACGTGCCGCGCGCTACTTCTGGGAAATTCATGGCGTCTGAAATCTAGCTTAGTGCTGCTCTAGTGCTGCGCTGTGCCGCCATGATCTTCCCAAGGGCTGCACGTTGCACGTACCTCGTGCATCGACGAACATTGCGCTACTTTTGAAACATGGAGGGGCTTTAGCTGCAGATCACAAAAGCCGGCTTGTATTGAAACTGAAAAGAAAAAAAAAAGCCTGCCAAGTTAGGGCGCGCCTGCACTTTAGACTCGAGTTCAGATGCAACACCGGTCGTGTCCTATACGCTTTACACACGCGCAAAATTACAGCCGCCATTGCTGACCTTCTCTTGTCTTTTCCATACGCCGAACCACTGAAGCGAGTGTTGACAAGCCTCCACAGAGGCCAATGCTGTGGAGAAGGACGCAGTGCAACCTAAAATATCAATAACCTGCCCTGCTGTGGTTATGATGAAGTGAAGTAAATGTAATAAGAAGAAACAAAAATTGGAGGTCGGTTATGGCGGCGCCCATGCACAGCTGCTGCAAAGCGTCTATAGACGATTGCAAGCTGGGCGATTGCCCGCCGCCATGTCTCTGCTCGAGCAGGCACGCCCGTGCGATTATGAGCTTGCGAAAGCTACGTTCACCCGCGCGTTGCACGCGCTTGCACGCATGGGGCACCACTTGTGGCGCCATGCTTGCAATTGTCTATAGCTTTGGCAGGGATTTGTTTATTTTTCTCTTTACATCCCGCTCGGCCACGTGCACACATTTTTCTTTTTGGTGTGGATAAAGCTCCTCAATGTGTTTGCGTTTCTCTTGCATGTATACTTCGTCTCACCCTAGCATGGACTAACCGCGAAGCCTGTGCTAGCGCGAGCGGCCAGCCTTGACTGCCTTGAGTAGAGCACTTGCTGCACGAGCGCTCGTGCAGCCGCCGCGGCTTCATTCAAAGCGACTAGCTCGCGCTTTTAGCACGCGCGGCTAACAATAGTCCATACTAAGGTGAGACGAAGTATAGCGGGAAATGTGCCAGTGCACGAGACCCGTGTTTCGAGAGGCCTTGGAAAGCAAAAGACGGCGGAGCGCCTGCCCATGGCACGTGTCTCGCGCGTTTCCACAACAATGGTCGGAGGTACTTGTAAGCGGGAATTTTATCAAAAGACCTTAGGTGAAGCTAAAGTCCCTGATAAAATTCACGCTTTCAAGTACCGCCAACTTTTGTTGTGGAAAAGCGAGATGTGCCACGAGCCGATGCTCCACCGCCATTCGCTTCCAAGGGCCGCTCATTTCATTGCTGCGCCGCATTTTGCTCCAAGGGCCGCTCGAGACACGGGCCTCGTGAACTGGCGCATTTGACGCTACTTGCAAGAAAAACGAAAAGACATCGAAGGGTTGTAGGTGTTGCTCCGAACTCGGCCATTCTTGCGGAGCAAGACCTGTGCTATTCGCGGCGAGAAGTTTGGGTATCGCCACCTGGTTGGATTTTTTTTTCACAACTCAGAGTGAGGGTAGTTCAACTTCCTCTGCTGGTGCAAACAAATGAAATCCACGATTTGCAAAATAGTGCGCGCCGCCTGTCGCGCAACGCCGGAAACTTCGACATTTTGGGTGCGAGGCTGGAAAGTAGTTTGAATACAACTAGGCTTCGCGATGCATGGTTTGGCTTGATACATGTGGGGCGTAAAGTTCGTGCACGCGGTCTGTTCCAAGCGTTGCCCCTAGACCCAGATTGAATAGTGTGGAAAATTCCACCCAGGAGCGTACAAAAACGACGTACCCGTGACAAAATGTGTGCTGCAGATCCGTCAGTGCTCGTTCGGCTGCCATGGTGAGCCGTCCATGTTCCTTCTCCTCACGACAGCTATTCAAACCTATCTTAGCAGGATACAGCCTGCTGCAAAAATCTTGACGTTTTTTTTTTACTGTAAAAGTAATTCGCGCAACTATACGAAATACAGTGCGCCGGCAAATCGACAAACAAAAGCGACTCGCGAGCTTTCTTCGTCCTCGCTCACGGTGTCTTCGCTTCCGCGCCTTTGTCGCAGCCTAGGAATAGCCGGCACGCCTATTTGTTTTCCAACCAAACAGGGGGCGCTAGCAACACGCTCTGCTCGCGCATGCGCAGCAACTTTTTTGCAAATTGTGGATTCCCAGCTCCTATGCACTATGAAAATTAAAACATAACCACGTGGGTAGCACGTGCAATACCCATGGTAAAGAAAACAGAAGCGCCCTATAGCGTGCTTCTCACGGCGAATAGGCTCCTTTTGCTGGTCAGCCGGGCGTTTGGAAGGGCCGGAGAAGAGCTTTACGCGCCAAAAATCGCTGCAGGCAATGAACCTCCTGCTAGGGTTCTGCAGCGCGAGCACATATGAGATTGGCCAAGCAGCAAATGCTTTTCTGGAAGTCGAAAGACGACGAAGACAGCAATCTGAAAACATTCGGAAGCAACAACAAAAATAGGCCAACAGCCTCCAGAAACGACAACGATAATCACAATGAGTGGATGGACTTCGTGGAGGACTACAAGAGAAAAACCTCTGCCGGGAAATGATGGATCCCGTAATCCTCGCAATGCGGAGTCCATCAGTCAGCAGCCCGAGGAGAGATCGGCTTCTGCGCCTTCTTGCTGCCGCCGTCCAGAGGCCGCACCTCCCGCCAAGGTGGTCCTGTTCGTGGGCAGTGTTCGCGTCGGCCGGATGGCCGAGCGCCTCAAGATCTACGTCGCGGGACAGCTGCAGAAGAGAGGACACAAGGTGATCATCATAGATCCAGAAGAGGAACAGAACCTGCTGCAGGTGCGCACAGTAATGAATTGTTCTCAGCAGGTTTATACACCGGTAAGTTAGTCAGCCTCAATGGGCATCTGGTATCTCCACTGTAGATGATAAATTTAGCCGCTCATGTACGACCACTAGCCTGAAGCCTGAAACGTGCACCATGCAGTAGTGATACACGACCGCATGTCGGACCGACACGCGGGCTTGACGTCACGGAGCTGCGGCGGCGCTGCGATCGCGCCGGAGCCGGGTGGTGTGGGCAAAAGGGCACGCGTTTGGCATTGGCGTCATTACATATCAGCATGCAGCTAAGTTGTGTTACCGTTAATCCTACCGGAAGGTACGATAAATGTAGCGGAGTGAGTTTCCACAAGTGTTCAGCAGACTGAAAGGCACAGGAGGTGGATAATATCCGTGGATCAAAAAGAATGGTCGGCAAGCACTTTCTTCAGGGCAAGTGCGGCTTCTATTTCAATCTCTGTCCCGAGGCTTGCTTATGTGCAGGGAAACCGTCGTCTGATCGAGACCACCCAGATTGTGTTCCCACGGTGTTCGCGCACAAAGCACCGGCCAAGCGCTCGTCGGAGGCCCGCTACGCCCGTGCTGCAGAAGGGGATCGGCGACAGAACGGCAGTGTTGTAGCCTTTACCGAAAAAAAAGTACCGAAATACGTTACTCGTTACTTGCAAATAAAAGGTACGCGTTGCCAAGCTACATTCTCTAATAATAAAGGTAACGCGTTACTGCTACCGATAAAAAGTAACGCACGATACTTCTGCGTTACTTTTAAAATTATGATTTAACACGTTTTACTGTTTTGACGATACAGGTATGCATAAGCTCATATATCAATAAACATTATGTTCATGCAGAAACTGAACTTATTACTTTATCTCTTTTTACGGTTTCACCTAAATACTCACGCGAAAAAACGCAAAGAAAAACGCAGAAAACTCAGAAATTCATATGGCTTGACGCCTAAAAACACGGAAAAAATTAAAGTGTAATTTCTTTAAGACTTAGGAAATAGTAACGGAAGTACGTTACCCGTTTCTGTGTCGAAAAAGTAACGAGTAGGTGACTACGTTACTGAAAAAAGTAACGCGTTCCTGGTAACGCCGTTACTTGTAAAGTGTTACATCCAAGACTGCAAAACGGACAAAGCGTTACTGCTTGTCATGCCTTGTGGTCATGAAGGTAGGAAAAATATCAGAACTTGACTCGAAGACGCTGTGCGTATTTAATTAATATATACACTTCCGCAGACCCACAGTCTGCTGTGCTGATCCCGCCGGCAGTGCGGAAACCGACTCGAAGTAACCGCAGGCCTCGAGAGACTTGTACGCCTGTACCGTGTCGGCCATGAACTGGCTCGGCGAAAAAACGAAATAAACGACGACGTGAGCCGTCGACTTCGGTGGCAGAAACTTCACGCCGGAAGTCCAGCAGGCCTTGTTTGCGGCGTACGGATTAGGGAGGCTCAAGTGAGGGTGGGTGCAACTGCTAGATCGGCGATCACGGGACATGGACGCCATTTAATTGCTAAATTTTGCTGGGAGTCTATGGGGCAAAGGGTCGTTTTCTTTCCTAACTCGGGTCATAACAGCCCATTAAGGTGCTTAAATAATTTACACAAGGTATAAATGATTACTTTTCCATAGCCACCAGTTTTGTTGCGATAGGTTAAGTATTTTTTTAACGCGAAAAATGGTAAATTCCGCCATCTTGAACGTTGCTGCTTGTCTGGCAACTTTGCTTTCTCCGCTCGACGTTTGCAATTCTCGGAGCGAGAAGGAAGCGAGAGAGGCTGCGCCAAGGCGCTCGTTGCTTGCAATGGGAGGCGAGAGGAGGAAAGGCGCATGGAGCAACAGAGCTGCAACAGAGCGGGCGCCTGCTCTCGTGCAGGCAACACTGGCACATATCCTTTCTCGAATCCTCTCCCTCAGGCGCCGCCATTAAATTGCAAACGCTCTCCAGGTTTTGAGTTGCGCCCACCCTCACTACAGCCTCCCTAGTACGGATCGTCGAAGGCAACGCCGTCCACGCACAGTTTGCCTCGATACCGCTGCCGTTCAGGCTCGGGTAGCGAGCTCAAATAGTCGGGCATAGCATACGACATACGTTGTCAGGAAGAACGAGCGCACGCCACACAACGCAATGCCGAAAACACGGAGAGCCGCGCCGCTTTTGCCCACATAGGTTCCGCGCATGCACGGCCTTCTGGCCGTGTTAGTAAACAGAGCCGCTCCGCGTGTCGGGGAGATATCTGACCCGTTTGTTTCCCCACACCTCGGTGTTTACTCAACACAAGGCCTGTGCACATGCCCACAGGCCTTATGGGCATGTCCATGTCATCTTCTACAATTAGCCCCGAGAAGTTCGCGTGGCGCCTCCTTACGGCAAACCGGGGTGACGCCACGGCGAGGAGAGAATTTTTCCCCGACTCGCCCCGCTCGGCCTGGAGGCTGACGACGCTAGCTGTCGGCGCGCTCGTTTGTATTTAATCTTTTTTGCGTGTTTTTCGTAGGAAGTGTAAATTTTCATATGTGCCTTTATTGAGGTGTGGCCTGTAGCTACAGGCGAAACTGTTGACAGGGCAGGCAACGCATGAATCACAGCTGGTATATGAAAATAAAGAAATATGGCCACAATTGCAGGAGCTTCACTATAGATTTAGATCTCGCACAATCAATGCTGCTGATAGTCTGAAAGAATTGGCAGGTTATGTGTACTATTTTTTTTTTTTGTATCTGTTTTTAAACAAGATCGCCGAAGCAGAAAAGCTGCATGCTGCTCGAGCAACATGCTAAATACAGTCTGGGCCATGGGGAGAGAATCACAAGTAAGACAGCCCAAGTGCAGGAGCAAAGTAAAAAAGAAAAAGGAACATTTAATGCTCGCATTTGACCTTTGCTGGATTTGGATCGTATCTCAATGGACTACACAGGTGGTATCTGTGGACTTGTTTATATTAACCCTCAAGTAATGTATAACAAACGTAAGCGAAGGTGTCTAGCTCGTTAAGTCCCTTAAGCCCTTAAATTGAGATTTTACTTAAATCAAATTGTCCTGAAGCTCAAATACCAGAAGCTTTTCTCACGCAGACTGTCGCCCTTCACAGGTTCCACATTTTCTGCTACTAGTGATGCATCAAGTTGTAGATCTACAACTGGACAGACGTTCGAATGCTTGCTTTTACTGTTGTTTTCCTCTGTTGTCAGATAGTCCAGCTGTAGGGAGTTTGGAGGCTGAGGAAGCTTTTGGGGACCTGCGGCAGTGTCTCTTTTAATTGGAAATGACAATTCAGACTAAACGGTGTATTTTTCGAATACCCAAGACTGGAATAAAGAAGGTCAGGAAAAAGTATAAACATTCTAAATTACGGCACTATTGCTGTACATATTTTGGGCAGTTCAATACATATCATACAGGCAACTGGGGGCAATTCGGCCGTCTTTGAATGCTACCATACAAACTGATTTCCAGTAATTGTGCATCTTCTAAAAAATATGCCTGCATACGTGTATAAACTATATAATTAATTCACGAAGAAGCTACATTTATGTAAAACAACCCTGTTCCACGAGCACTTCCAAGATCATCAGACGCAGGGCCTTTAAAACATTTGCGAACCAGCGCATGCATGAGTGGCAGCGCAAAGTCGGGGTCGCGAGCTAATTTGCCGACCGATTAAAGGCCCATGATATAAATGCCACTTCAAATGCCTTGAAAGCGGGATGTAATATCGTCCTAAATCATGAACATGCAAGGAACAGAATTCTAGCGTCTGAAACACTTGCGCCACCGCTTCACCGACCCCTCGCAAGATTGCCTTGTGTCGTGTGGACGGACGGGGAGGTTCATCGGCGGAATTGCCTCCGCCGATAGCTTTCAGGATTTGTAACCTAATTTTAAAAGTAAAAGGGACAAACAGGCTTATAAAATGTACGGATCGTACGTCAATATCGGCCTAACTCAACGTCTTGTACACCGGGTAAACGAAGTCCAGCTCCTCGAACAGCCTGCGGCACACAACGCCAAACCAGGAAACCGGTGTTGGGAAGCGAGCCGATGCGAGATCGCGGAGCGGAGTCCTCCCCCTGACGTCACGGTACACCTCCCCCAATCAGGGCGCGGCGACCGCAGCGACGCTTGTGTTCGCTCTCGTGGCTAATAGAGCGCGGGGCACAGTTTAATGTAAAAAAATACAATCGACGAAGCGAATGCGAGCTTGACCCACTTCGGCTTTTGTGCTGAGCTGGGACCGTGCATGCTGCATTGTTCATGCAGGCCGGAGTGGAAACAAAAGAGCCCCTCCACCCCCTCACCGGAGAACACGAACTCCAGCCGAACGCTGACGCCGCGTTCGGATATGTCGACCGAGCGCTGAATCACTGTATTTGTTGTCCCCATCCGTGTAATTCTAAAGTTAACCGCTTGGGGCGTCACGGTCGCTCCTCCTCCCCCATAGGGCCCTGCTGCGCAAGCTTTTGCTCCACGTGTTCTGAGCTGCAGTGCGCTCAACCTCGGCCACCGATGTCCCCCGCAGGTGCGGAAGCCGGTCCACTTCCACGGCCCGGACGAGACGCTTCCGCAGTGGCTGGCAGCGCTGCACGAGCACGTGGTAGCGGCCGACGCCTATGTGGTACTCTGCCCCGAGTACAACCGCTGCATCTCCCCCACCCTCGCCAGCGCTATGGACCAGTTCCCTCCAGATTCGTACCGCCACAAGCCGTGCGGCGTGGTCGCCTACAGCGTCGGCAACGGGGCAGGCCTGGTGGCTGCGGCGCAGTTGCGGAGTTTCCTGGGACAGCTCGGCATGATCACGCTGCCCTTTAGTAGCGTCAATGCCAAGATACAAAAGTCGCTTTCCGAGGACGGCACCCTGCTCGACGAGGAGTTCGCCAGGGGAATCAACAAGATGCTCGGCGAACTCGAGTGGTACTGCACCGCGCTTAGGAACCACAAGGACGTGTGCGGACTACCATCCTAGCAGGATAGTTATACTTTGTTTGTTTCGGGCACTGATGGGCTTCCACCTCTTCTGTACATATGAAAGGAGGACTTTATTACTATTCTCGCAAGCTGCAAAGAAAAGCGTTCTGGGGATACTTTATGCCCGGTGATAAACTATAAAGATGCTATTTTTGTATGCGTGCTTGTGTCTGTGTGGATGCCTATAAATTTGTGTGGGCGTGCGTACGTTTGGTGCATATGCATATTTTCGTGTGTGCGGGTGTGTTTATGTGTGCATGTGCGTGTGTGCACGTGAGTTTGTGGGTGTTGGTGTGTGTGTGTGTGTGTGTTTGTGAACATAACTTTCTACCCGTCAGCGCAAAAATGTGGCGGAACACGAAATGTGTTCCGACACCTATCCAAGGCTATAGTTGACAGCATATTTGAAGCACCCAAACTCTAACCGACCGTTCGCACTGGAGCCTAGATGTGAGCTGCTACGGTGTAGCTAGGTGCTGTGTTCAAGGCAAGAATTCAATGGCATCTTGCGACCGTAGCATTTTATTTATTTATTTATTGTACATGTCCTCAAGAGCCAAAGCATTGTAGAGGGGAGGGGTAGAACAAACAAAAATAGAACGACAAAACATATGCGGCGAGGAATACAAACATTAAAAAGTAAACTCTGATTGGCAAAAACTGAAAGCTACATCTGCTACAAACAAAATGAACAAAAGCAAATGGCTCATGTTGGCTTTTCGCACAGAGATTTAAACAGAGATTGGCGAAGAAGAAAATAATCGGGTATAGTTGCGATATCTGCTGGAAGGTGGTTCCAGTTGGTCCACACGGGAAGAGTAATAATTAAGCAATGTCTAGAAATGGTCACGTAAAGACTGATAGTGATACGGTTTATAGAACAGGCAACGTCGAAAAAACGTTCTACGCAATGACATCTGGCCTTCCGGACAGGATACAAGACGACTGCGAGCAGCGGATTGCGGCACTTGGGCAGTAGCGGCGGCAGCGTACGCATTAGGACGCTAATCTACGTGCCATACCCCTTACAGGTTGGTTGGTTGACTTTCAAAAAATTTCGTTTTGTTTCTGCTGCTGCTGCCGCTCCTGCCATCGCGTTGATTTTACATTGAATGCGTGTGAGTGTTGAAATGTCTAACGGGGATGATAAGAGTTGCTTAACATGTAAGAAAAAACTAGAGGAAGATGTGTCGAATATAACATGCACCGAATGTGAATTCTTGTATCACTTAGGAGAACGCTCGGGAGTGACGAAAGCAAAAACGAGAAGTTGCGCAAGGACTGGGAATTATATATCCCTCCGCAACCTCCGCATCCAATAGCGTCCCATCGTTTCCGTGACGTCGCGGCCAACGAGCGAGGGGGGTCTTGCCTTTCTGCACATATTTGCTTTATCTTTCGACTTTGACTTAGCATTGTTGAAGCCACGAGAGGGAGATTAGAGTTTTCCCCTCCGATGGAAACAAATACGATTTTCGGGGATCAGGTTCCCCCTCTGATGCATACAAAGGCTGCTTTCAGGGGCTCGGTTCCCCCTCCGATGAATACAAAGGTCGCTTTCTTAAAAAGTGGGATCGGAGACAATTTGGCATCACTAGCTAAATATCCATCTATTGAAGCGGAACAAGTGAGCGTTTCCAGTGAACTCTTCTTTCAACTGCGGAGAGATTTGAAACCGGCGCATCACGCTTGTGGGAGGAGCTTCTACCTTCTTAAAGGGGCACTGACACATCAAAGTCATATTTCTTTTATTATCCGAAACGATTGAAAACGATGCCGGGACATTACCCTCAAAATTTGAAATTCGGGAATTCAGTATTTGTGAAGTAAAAAAACAATTTCCAAATGCCGAATTTGAAGTTCCCGCGCGATCGGCGCCGGTGCCTTGACGTCAAAAATTGCGGAGACCTGAGAGTCCCCTTTCTTTCACCACTCCCTGCTGTTGCCATGGCGACCCAAAGCGAGGAGGAAAGGAGTGAGCGGCGGCGTTGCGGCGGACCGGTTTTGAGCGGTGTCGCCTGTTTTCCGTTGGAGGATACAAATCCAGGAGACGGCACCACAACGGACTCCCGATTTTTGGTATTTCAAAAAGAAGGGCCGTAGTGCGTTCGCAATTGCGTTAAAAAGCATGTTTTAGGATTGCCGTAATTAAATGTTATAGAGATGTCGCCTACAAAGCTTCTAAATTTCATGATTCTTGACGTCACCGATCAAAAGAAGCGAGGAGGCGAGAGGCGGGAAAATCAAACGCCAAAAATAAAAAGGCGCGCGCGCGCGCGCGGGAAAATTTTTTTTCGCGATGCGGTTTTTTTTTGCGTGTCTATGACTGCAACTTGCATCGTTTTAGACAATAAAAATAAATACGACCTTTGGGGTGTCAGTGCCCCTTTAAAGGAGTCATGAAACGCTTTTCCAACTTTTTCCTGTTTAGCTTTCCTCCTCAACTCATAAATCGCGCATTGTACCAAACAGTTCAAGAAGACGGAAAGGGAGGAGTCCCCTCTTGCTCGGAATCTCGCTTGTGTAGACGGACACAGCCATTGTCCCCCTTGAAGATTAGCCCGTCGCCCAAAATTCCGACTGGTTGTTTTCCTTACCCCGTTCACCCCGAAGCTGACAGTGCTGTGGAAGCTACGTGCTCGTCGGGCCAGCCACACATTTTTCACGTGATCACGCCCTCTCGCGCATACCGACCCGCGGAGGATGAGGTCAGGTGATGAAAGGGAGGCGGCTGATTGGTCCGGAAAGCGCGTAGCTTCCACCGCAATGTCAGCTTAAGGGTAAAGGGATTAAGTGAGGTCCGGTGTCGTGTGACGTGCGCTTGGGCGTGGTGACGCGCTGCGGGGGCCCGGTTATGGTGGCTAGTAGCCCGGTGACGCGCTGCGGGGTCTGCGGATGTATCACAGTGAAAAGGCGGAGAGCTTACGAAGGGAAGGAGGTACGAAATAGTGCGCTATGTTTTGCAAATTTTCGTAGCGAAAGTCAGGCTTCTGACTTTCTACCTTTGTTCTTTTGGTCCACTGAACGATGTGCTATTAGTAAAATCCCAATATAAATTGACTACTCCAGCCCAAAATTCGTTTCATGGGTCCTTTAACTTGCAACCGACTATACTCCAACCCAGCCTCACGCTCCCTCTTACGTTGCCCCATCCAAGCCTTCTACACTTCCCCCTTCTTGAGCTCCTTTACCTGTCTCTCAAGCAGCAAGCTTCTCCCGCTTCTCCCACTCCTCATCTCACTAAGCTCGCTTGCCATGCGCTCCACCTTTCTTTCCCATTCAATGATGAGCTCCTGAAAATCTACCTTGAGTTCCTCCCTCTTAGCTAACACCCGAGTCTCCAGTACCACCCGCAACCGTCGTGCAGATTCGGCAAACCAGCCTACCCTCCTCCGCCTCCACCAAGCTCTCAAAATCTGTCTCATCCAGATACACCCACCGCAAGCACTTTTCCAGAGAGGGGGGGGGGGGGGGGGGGGTCCCCCCCTCTTGGAATCTTTTCTTTTGCTGGGGCCTCTTCTCCCCCCTACCCCTCATAAAGCATTTTGTCATGGGTGCCCCCCCCCCCTCCCCCCGAATCAAATCCCTGGCTACGTACGTGCGTTGACCCACCACATGCATGTTTATATTCTTACATTGGAGTCTTATTACAGACACGTTAATCCAAATACGAGAAAGATGACTCATTTAATTGATGTGCAAAGAAGGACTATAGCTTTATTATCCTACAAAATATTTTTTCGTTTATTGCGTGGAAGTGTTTTTAACGGGGTTAAAAGTTTAATGAAAGGTGGTAACATTTACCGGAATAAAACAAAATGCGTTTAACAAATTGGAAGTCGCTTTTCCGCAATGCTCACTGGCACGTGGTCGTGGTGCCTTTAAAGGGGTATTCACACGAGGGAGAAATCCCGGGGATTTCTCCCCGGCACGCGCATCCCACGACGAAAACGTCAGGCTTTGCGATGTACAAAAGCCTGGCGTTTTCATCTCGTGATGCGCGCGTGGCGGGGAGAAATCCCCGGGATTTCTCCCTCGTGTGAATAACCCTTAAGCCCACCTACTAAGTTCTGTAAAAGAAAGGTTCGTGGAATAAAATGTTTTCAAGGAAATTTCAAATTTCTAATTGATTTGCGTTATCTGATACGCAGAAAATTACGGTCCTCGGGAACATGACGGTCTTTTGCAAAGTATATCGGAAATTGGTCGTTTCGGTGAATATGGCACATATGATTCAATGCAAAGAAACTCTGTAGAGCCTTTGAATAAAAAATGCACGTATCCAAACGTTTAATTACTTCTCATAGATATTTTATAACTTTCATCAAAAATATCCCCGGAGAACATTACGACTCCTGCTGTTTAGTTTCCCTTTTAGTGAACCCAGCAGAGGCGCGTGTAGAGAAGGCCACAAAGCGGTAATGGTAAAAAAAAAAGTTGGGGACATGAGACCATAATTTTATCTAGGGCGACAAGTAACATATATTTAAAGGTGAATATATACATAATAATTTATTACCTCGTTATTTATCTTCGATATGTTCTTATCTGAGAACATTTCTTCGGATACGTTATTCAAAATCCGTGCGGGATAGCTTTTTGAATGGATGTGCTTAAACATAATCACGCTTTACTAAAAAAAAAAAAACGCTTTTTGTTTTTTTAATTAACGTGCTAACGTTTCAACGCTTCTTAATTTATAAAGCAATAAAATAATACTTCCCATAACTCACAAAAAGTTTAACAAATTCAAAGTCGCTTTCCCACAATGCCTTTGGGAATGCGGTTGTTATGACTTTACGACGGTTCGATTCAGGTCAATGAAGGAAACGTCCGGTGAATAAAAAGTTTGCAAGGAAATATCAAAATTACAATTGATTTGCGTCTTATAGTACACAGGCAATTACAGTACCCGGGAACATTGCGATCTTTTTGTGAAGAAAAGGAGCAATAATTTTGTGAATGTGACCTATAGGATTCAATGCAAAGGAACTTTGTACAGCCGTGGAATAAAAA